GTCCTTTTTTTCTTTAATACCCGTGCCAATGTTACTTAGCTATTTAGACTCACACTTATCACAGAACCCTATTTCCCATTATGCTCACAAACCAGGGATGAAACTCTGAATAGGCCCCAAATATGTACTTATTGTGCACCTAATTAAAAGGTTGCCAAATCACCGTTGGGTTCAATCGAGCATATAGTTAAGACACATAGGAAATGGTCTTTACAAAGTCACTCTCATTAAGTTGTATTTGCCCTATGACAATTCACCCCTACCGACTCATATCCATGCAAGCATGATATCGCTCCCATTTCTAGAGATACAGTTCTTCCTGTGCCAATTTTAATTTTAAGCCATAGCCTCTTTAGATTAAAGCTAAATTGCACTGCATTTAAGATGCCAAGAACATGTGAGAAAATCGCACGCACAAAATTATGAAGCTCAAAAACCAATTCCAAGAACCCAAACCGGCAACTATCAAAAGAGCCATTTTTTAACCAATGATAATAATTTTTAAAAAATCTGTCTGTAGCTGCTCGTCTAGCAAGAGAAACTCAAGAGTAGCCATCACTACTGAAGTTTGGCAAAATCCTGAGGAAAAGGCACCAGGCTGTGGATGTATGAGTCAATGCACATTTTAGCTGACGAAATGTTAGAACTTTTTGTTTTCTTGATTTGGTGCATAGGCTTCACTTTTTTTTTTTTTTTTTAACAACTGGAGAATGTAAAAATTTCTTAAGGCCTACAACAATGATAAATGAAAATTAGAATGTTTAAAAAATGTCATTTTTCATTTCTATAATCTTTTGTTAAAGCCACAGGGAGCCACTGTAGAGGGGCTAAAGAAACACGTGTGGCTCCGGAGCTGCAGGTTGCCGACCCCTGTTCTAGAAGAAAGAGGGTAAAAAAAAGACAGTGTGACGCATTTCACACAGTGATATGGAATTCAGGTTTATACAGCATGTTGTAAACGGTCGATTGAAGATGATATAAACCAAATGTATAACAGACATACAGACAAAAACAATTGAAGACAGATATCATCAGTGCCTGCACTACATAAAGACTTGTCATAAACTTTGATGTACAAATCACAGAGATGCCTCACAGACACACACGAACACCTATAACCAAACAACAGTGAACAGAGAAGCTCTCTTCTCTCAGCAGGAGAGAGACAGACCTCTAGTGGTTTGACACTCACACAGCAGACAGCAGCTCCTTTTGGTAAAGCCTCAACAGAAGACTTTAAAACACTTTGAAGTGTAATCTTGAGTCCTTGTCAAAGATGTGCACACACATATGTTCCCTTTCTGTTTCTACTTTCTAGTACTGATAACCTAATCAGCTGTCCGTCCTATTTGCCATAACATCACCGTCAATGTAAGGCACACATCGTCAGTACTGCTCTAACATTCATGTTCTATGGTTTGGTTTATGGTATTACAGGTCACTGTCTGTGTGTGTTTATCTGCTGAGAAAACCAGACACCCTGGACAGAGGTTATGATGTTTAGACAGTACATTCCACTGAGTGGTGTGAACACATACACACCGCAGGACTGGATTTAACCCTTACACACTGTTGATGTTCTTTCCCTTCACAAAATGGTTTTATCCGGCCCAAGAATCTCCACATATCAAGTGCCTATACCATATTTTTAACCACAAATCTAATTGGAATGTATAAATAGCCTATTTGACTTTAATAAATGAGTGACTAATAATTAATGTATCAGAGAGCAGGGAGAGTGTGTTTCTTAGGGTTTGCACCACTCGTAAATGGAGAGAAAGACATTTACACAATATCGGACAATATTATTGCCTATTTTATGTGATACATGAAAATATTACAGTCATAATGATTTAAATATGTTTTACTAAAAATGGTTAGGACATTCTGGGGTTCATTACAGGACCATTCAACACCTTTACAACCATCACACACTGTGCTCACTGGTAAAAAATATCCTCATAGCTACTATCTATTTAGAACTATAAACTTTTCTTTTAACATTAGCGAACATTTTCCCAACAAACAATTAAAAAAAATACTAATTTGAAAATAATCTTTGCAGTCTCATCTTGGAGGACCATATCAGTGACCTCTTGGACAGTAAATCTTGTTGTCATGACCTCAGTCACTGTCAAAGCAGTCTTATGAACTCCACTCCACCCCTCTTTAGATCTCTGCCGGGTAGCTGGGAATTGCTGGATTTTAATTAGTTTATTTTGAAGTTATCTTATATTGCAGGTGCTCATGCTTGCAGGTGCAGATCTTGCAACAGGGTCAAGCCCAGGCTCTCAGGAAGTGTGCCAGGCTTTGAAGCCAATTTTTGGTTGTGGCCAAACAGTATAATTACAGCTTCACATGATGCCCTGTAGCCAAAAAAGACTTTTTCCCATTGACTTACATAGCAAAGGAAACGTCTGTAAACCAGTGGATACATTTTTTCAAGCATCATTTTGCTATCAAACTTTGATCTGTTCGATCCAATACATGTAGGGAAGTCTACAAGAGCCGTATGATTTAATCTTTTTATTGCTATCCAAGTTAGCAGAGCGCTAAACAGGAAGTAGTTGTCTTGGATGGCAGAAGTCTGCATTGCGCTTGCTCTGTGGGCCACACAGTGTGAAAGCAGTGTCAGTCATCAGGTTAAATTTATATCCTCCTGAGACCCTGCTCATATGACGGCATTACATTTTGGGTTTACTTGACCTTTATACTTCCTTCTACTTAACTTAGGCCTGCTGTCCTCATTGGTGGACACCTTTTTGTGCCATCTAGTGGCAGTATGAGCACAATACACTAATCCATGCAAAAACAATATGGCAGCCGCCTCTGCCAAGTCAGTCTGCAGCTGACCCCGACACTTAAGTGTAGAACGAGAAACAATGTCCGCACATCAAAAAGCTCCAATAGAGTGAGTATTTATTTCAGCATGACGTTTCGAGCTTCGAGCTTTTTGGTGTGTGGACATTGTTTCTTGCTCTACATGTGGCCTTTTTTGTCCAGCACCCATCCCTAATAAGGGTATGAGCATGTGCGTGTTATTTCCACTAAAGTGGTCCACGTCCGGGTCTGTTACATCAGTGGTTCCAAACTGGTGGGTCACGGTCCAAAAGTCCAAAAGTGGGTCACGGGTCCATTCTGAATGTACCATAAGTGACTTGTGAATGTATCAAGTTTGTAAAAAAACACACTTTACTTTGGAGTACAGTGAATTTCCGGCACAGCTTTCTTTTTGAAGTGCCATTTCCTGCTGTAAAGTGACTGACTAACGGACAGCTACTTAACAGAGACAGTCAACTAGCTCAATGACATGGCCAAATGCAAGTATGAGGCAGAACAGATTCAACTGTGTGGACCTTGAACTGATGGCTAAGGAAAAATCTGAACCTCATGGGTGGACCACTTGGGAACCAATGTGTGACATGATGCCATGTGGACCAACAACTTTTTCCCAAAGATTTCCATTGTGAAAGAGACGTCTGTAAATCAGTGGATACATTTTTTTGAGCGTCACGACCCTTGTGAAATGACTCATTTCACTATCGAGATTTGACCATTCAGTCTGAAAGCATGTCGACAGTTTAGAAGAGCTTCACAATTAAATCATTTTATCCCTATCCATGTTAGCAGAGGGATAAACTGGAAGTCAAACACTTGGTTGCCTTAAGTCTCTACTGCGATTGCTCTGTGGAAGATGTGGGTGATTTCATACCATTGAAATCGAGCTTTCATACTTTAATAGGAATGAACAGGGCTGTGCCTCCAATGCTGTATCCAGGTCTCTTCATGGTACATCCATAGTCAAGGTACCCTATGACCTTTGTTCCTTATGTGCACCATGTATGATTGTGCCTAATGCTGTTTTAGTCTACACTGTTTCAAGACTCCCCTATGACACTTCAAAGACCAACAGGTGCCTGTCTAAGGCAGTTCTTGTGACAATGTCATGGTCCCTCTTGAACTCTGTCACTATTTCACTATAAAAATATACACAGAGATGACATCTACAGTTTCAAGATTCCTTAAAACCCCAATTTTCTTTGACTGGACTCACACTGGTGTGGTTCTAAATTCAAGTTTAACAGATACAAGTCAAATTTGATCCGGAACAACCTCAGTGAACAAAAAGTTGTTGCACCTGTACAAAGGTAGAAAAAATGTAGTATTTAAATTTTTGCACATTTTAGGTTACCTCAGGAAAAGTCATCAAATGTCAGGCTAAAAGAATGGCATTCAGAATGTTAAAGGACGTATAGGCTAACACATAACCAATACCTCGTACTTCTCCACAGATCTCTTCACATAAAGTGTTGTGTGTATTTACCCGTGCCCACAACCACACACACTGCTTAGACCAATGATCCATCACTGGGTGTATCCACTCCTTGCAGTGCTCCTGGTCCCTTGCTGACTCATGCGGTGTGGCTAGCTTTGGGGTTTTCCACAGTAATGGGAGAAGTCGCTACACAATCAACCCTTTATTCTTGACCTGCACTGAGCCCCACACACACACACACACACACACACACACACACACACTGCTCTATTCTTGACACACAAAATGCGCTTGAATGAACAATATACGCTCGGCCTCGCTAACGAGAGTCTGCTGATGCTGAGGCCTTGCTGAATTTCATGCTGGGTGTGCACGTAAGGCTCCTGTAGGTGAGTATGTGTGGGTGGATGTTTGTGTGCACACGCCTCGGGCTCACTGCGCTTCTCATTAGTCCTCCACGCTGCTCAGAACAAAAGGTGTTCTGACTTCAGCACACACGCAAGAACTGGAGAGCAACGCCGCTGTGTGCGTGTGTCTATGTGTCTGGGGATGTGTGTTTTTTTCCGGAGGCTATAACAGCAAGGTTACACCACAACTGGAAACAGATGAGCTTAGCAATTAATGGTCTGAACCTAAAATAAATTGCAGCTGACTGTTTAGCTCTAAGAGATATTATATGTTCCAGTGTGGGGAACTGAAGCTCAAAAATAGAAACACTTCAAGATTACTGACAAAAATGTATTTAATCTTTTGAAGAGCGTAATACTGTACATGGTTTCAGCAAATATATAGAATACAGTGTGCAACGTATATGAGCAAAATATTTGTTCTTCATGTTCGTCTTTAGAAAAAGCATGCAGACCCGTTCAGTCTGTAACAAAAGGTTTCAAATGGCAGTTTGTTTCCATCAAAAGCAAGACTGAAGAAAATGACTCCTGTTTCAGCAACGTCAGAGGACGATGGGAGTTTATGTCCAAAACGGAAGATATTTTTGAAACGTCAAGGCACAAAGGGTGTCCCAGATCCTCAGTCTCTGCCCAAATAACGCCATCTTTTCCTTTCGCAGCGGCCTCCGCGGTGACCTCAAGCAATGAGGTCATGACCAAAACAAAAAACAATTTCATCCATGCTTACAGTATGTCAGAATCCTAGGCTTTGTATGACAAGAAGAGTGTCTGTAACACTTGATCTCAGTCCTTTAATCCATATTCACTGATGGCCGCACTGCACATCCCATCATGCTGTGCACCACAGAATCAAGCTGATGGATCTGGTGTCCTCTGCTCTGCTCCACTCTGATTGGTTCCCTCCCAGGAAGTGAAAAGGCTGAAGAAAGAAAAGCAAATTTTTAATATCAAATCCTTAATGTATATGTTTGATACTGTGACAGCTGATGGTGTTCTACAAAATGCATTTTTAGTGAGTTATGTGACACTGTTACCATGGCTACTAGAGTTAATTTGGGCACTTGACTACTGCAGCTCTCTTAAGGAAGCATCGCTGTGGATTCCTGGACCGTGAGCTCATAGTTCAGACTTACACACACACACAGTTCATGAACATTTGAGATCTGTGACCCGTTTCACTAAATAACACCGCTGTCATGTGCCGGCACCAAATGTGGAAAAGCTGAAAAGGACACATAGGGTGCTCAGCTCTGGTCATCCCACATGTCCAGTTGTCTTAGGGTCTGTTAAATACACAGAAGAAGGCTGTAAGTGTGTGTGAGCGTGTGCGTATTTAAAAATACTTGGCTGCCTCGTGAGGGAGAGGCAGGCAGATGTTATTTTGGAGGCTCACATTGCATCGTAATTATGTCCTGGAGTGAGAGTTGGTGTGTGTCCTAAGACGACTGAGGTGCAGATAAGGCCGATGACCATAGTAAGAAAGAACTGACATGGCTTTGACTCTACACTGGAACATCTAAACACTCAAGTGGTGCTTGTAAATAACTTTCAGCTTGAGCCTTGAGTGCTGCTCAGACATGTGCCACCACAATTCCCAGGAGGATGGATGTTTTCATTCCATCCAATCACTGCCGCAGCTTGTTTCAGCTATTAACACCAGTCCAGGCACAGGAGGGGAGATATCAGCACTTAGAGGAGACTTTGATGGCAAATAGTTGAGCATCTCTTGTGTCATTTAACGCTTGATGTGCTTAAGTGATGCTTTGACTTTGGGTTTAACTGTTTCATTGACACAAAGTTGGTACTGGGAGTGAATCTGCCTGAGACACTCCAGCTATGGGAGGGTGTGGTACCACACAGTCTCCCTGACCCAAAATAAGCCTATGTAAGCCTAAATAAGTTGATTAAAGAACTCTTATTGGCTACATTTTGGTGAGTCTTTTCAAGGCTTACCTGCACCAGGTCAGAGCTCCTCATCCTCCCCAGTGCTGCCCAGGTGTGCTGTTGACAGGTGCCTGTTCCGCCCAGTTTGCACGGCCTGCAGGTTCTTAAAGCGCACCAGTGCCAGAGCAATCTCCGCGTTCCACGCCGTGCCGTCCTGCGGACACCGAAAGTCTATCTCCTTCCCCGTGGCCATGACCACGGTGAAGTACACCAGCCCTCGCTTGTACTCCACGCAGTCTACCGTGGCCATGCGCTCAAAGCGGAGCTCCTTGGCTTTGGAGCTCCACGCTGTGCTCGGAGCATCACCAACGCCACCACCGCCGTCACCACCTTTGCAGTTGTGCAGACGCAGCCCTTCCTCTGTGAGCACGCAGCGCTTCTTCTTCCACAGCTGGAGGAGCCCGCTGCTGCGCTTCTCCAGCAGCCCATCCCTCATCACTTTGGCCGGGAAGGACATGGCTACACTGAGCCCGAGTCTTTACACAGAGCCGAAACTTGGAGAGTCTTCAACAGTGATGCGCCTCAACATTAATCCATCAAATACACATCTAATATGTGCCGGTGCCAAGTGTCTCTCACGAAAACATATTTTTAAGCTATGACATAAATGAAAGAAGTCAATACAACAGCTCTCCCAAAGCCTGTGTGTCAATGCACTCCATGCGTAATGACAGCAGTGTGTGGAGCTTGGTAGGCTGGTCTGCCTGGATATGTTTGAACATGCCCGGCTCTGCTGTGGACCTTCCCCGCCTCCTCCTGATGACGGCAGGAGGAGATCCGGGCTGTTTATGAAATTTCCTGCTTGTGTGAGCGCGCGCGCGCACGGATACAGTGTGATTTTACAGCTCTGTGTGTTTATGTGTTAACAGAAAGACAGGTAGGTGGGTTTAGCCACCTCCCACTTAGGTCACAGTGCACCTATAAAAACCTGCCACACACCTGTCAGTATAAATAGACCGTGCACTTAAAAATAAGTCAGTTAAATCAGATGTAGCTGCGCATGCAAGTGCCAAAAAAGTGTCTATGGTGAGCTGCTTCATCTTGTGTGTCTCTGAGAGCTGGAATGTGAGTGGGAGGTAAAGAAGTCAGATGTTGTAATATGTGAGAGAAACAAAATAAAGATTTTGTTGAATAGTTATAAACAGATGACTATCCCACTTCTGATATATTATTTATATATGTTTAATAGGCTACGTTATAAAACATTCACACATCCTGAACAAGCAGGCATGTTTGATTCCAATGAAAGACACCTGACTGCACTGATTAAAGTTAAATTAGGTGGAGATACTGGTCACATTTTTCCTAACAAAAGAGGTTTCACTTCACTGCTCTCCTACAGAGGGAAAGCTTAATTATGACAGCCTTCTTGTCATTCTTCACATCCCTGACGGTAACATGGCTCTAATGTGACACATGAGCCTGTATGGGTGGAGCGGAGCTGTGATTCCCCCAACTTTACAAGATCCTGTACTTATGTCCCAGCACTGTGATGTGTCACTGCAATGTTATGAGAGGAATGGATAGATGGACATGTGACATGTCTTGAAACTTAAACACATGATGTCACCCTCTGATAATTAACTCCCTATTCCTTAAACACAGACAGACACAGTTTCACTCACATGTTCTTATGTAATTTTTGCACCAATTAAGAAAGGCAGTAAAATGTTTTCACTTTATTTATTATCATGCTGAATGAAAGGCAGAACATACAGCATTTACTCCATTACATTATTGTTAGAAAGAGAAACAGAGCAGATAGTGCAAATCATCAAAGCAGCGTTAAACGACAAGTAATGTTTCAGTACTAAGTGTAGGTTATGTGTCAAGATTTACTGTAACAGCACTAGTGATCATTTAGAGCCTTTATGAGGCAGAGATGATGTCATCGTTTCCACTGTACAATCCTTGAATGCAGCTTTTTAATCTAAGCATGTGTCTATGTGTCTGCCAGGTGCAGCAGTCTGCCCCCTGCAGGAGGAAAACAGGAGTTCAGCTTTGTGGACACAGGTCACCGTTGATCCCAGTGAGGTCTCTACTGAGTGTGCGACAGCGCCCCGGCTCCCACGCCGTACCCAAATCCCTTGGGACCAAAGTGTTTGCCATAACAAGCTGTTGGAAAGAAAGGTAATGTCAGAAACACTCCACTTTAGGCTATCAACGTCATATCCTTCAGTTAACCACAGTTGGTGTACGGCTCATGTTAAAGCTAGCTAGCTAAAGCTTTAGCCCCATTTTGGACCTCAGCAGGGGGTGGGGGGAATATTTTATTTTTATCCGTTAATGTATCTTGCAACAGGTTACGTTTTTAGAAGCATTTCATGAACTTAAATGTGTCTACTTGCTGTCTAGTATAGTAAAATATTCGCCTGGGCAAAATAAATGTTGAAATAGTCAACGTTATTTTCGTGTAGCTCCGCACTCTACGCTGGAACGTAACCAACATGCACGTGCCGCTACATGCCTTGGCGGAAGTAACTAAACTTAACTAAACTAAAATAATAATTATTTTTATTTTATTGTATTTATTTTTTACTTTTATTTAGTTTTTACCTATTTAAAAATGTAATGAAACTAAAGTAAAATAAAATAATATTTATAATGTAAAAAACTAAAAAATAAAAACAATAATAATAGTTTATGTAATTCATTCCTTTAATTTATTTTTTGTATATTAATAATATAAAACGAAATAAAAATGATTATTATTTTATTTTTGTATGCATGGTCAATTCAGAATATCAATATTTATTCTCAAAATATGCTTGAGTTAATAATGTTCGTTGGGTAAAATAAAAAATACAAGCATAAAAATAAAAAAAGATGATCTTGTCTTTGAAGTGGTGGCTTCAACACTTTGTTACTCTCTTCCTATAGGTATCATCTAGACCTGCAACTTACTGTTAGCCTGTTTTTATTATTGCGTCACTAGTCGTATCATTTTCTAGATTAATCGTTTTGTCTGTCCTGTGTAATTTCTCAGAGCCCAAGTCACATCTTCAGCTTATTATATGGACCAAGTCTTCTGACCACTCAAAGTGCTTTTTACACTATGAGTCACATTCACCCAGTGACACACTGGTGGCCAAGGCTACTATTGAAGGTGCCACCTGCTACTTAGATGTGCGGACTGGAGGAGCCGGGGATCGAACCACTGATCTTGCGATAAGTGGACAATCTGCTCTACCTTCTGAGCCACAGTCACTGTTATTATTATCATGTATAATGAAGAAAAGCCTGAAATTCTCAAATTTGAGAAGCATGACACTAGCAAATATTTGGCTTTTCACCTAAAAAATGAATGAAATGATTTTTTAGTGATCAAAATAGTTGACAGTTTTCTGTCGATCGACTAATTGATAAATCGACTATTCTTTGCAGCTGTGCTCTCAAGTGAACCAGAATCTACAGTTCTAAATCCCTGAACTAGCTCAGTTAAGTGGAGCACAGCCATCATTAATGTTGTCAGTTGCAGCTGTGTTTCTCCTGCTTCCTCCTCTTGTATTGTTCTTTTGCCTAAGACTTTTCACTTTGGGAGCGCTGTACCCGAATCACAGAGTAATGTACAACTCCAGTTCCGTGGTCACAAATTCAGTGGATATGGAGGAGCTCTCACAGAAGACTTTGAATCATCAAAGCAGTAAAGCAAATGTGTAAAGATAGCTCCATGAAGCCATATCAGGGAGTGAGTGTGCATAATATCAGAGCCCTGGAACTAGCTCCCCTAAATGGAATGCAGCCATCATTAATGTTTTCCTGCTAAGTCAAAATGTCTGCCATGAAATGGCTTTATTGACCACTCAGCGAGGTGTGATAAACATGCATGTATATATTTGTCTTTTGAGATATCATGACAGCCCAATTTTGGGACATTTTAACTTTTATGTGTACATGAACCAGGTTAGTTTGCAAAAGAGAGTCACAAAGCTTGGACAGAAGCTATGTGTTGCGGTGTTTGCTTTTTTCCTTTGATGTAAAATTAGAATAAGTCAACATATGAAAAAACAGAATTTGAAATGAATAAACACCCTGCACAAATGCTAAACAAAATATTAGTTTGTGTAGGGCTGAGCTAGTTTTCTCAATTCAATATATCCAGAATCATTAATGGAAAACTTTTTAATCTAAACAAGCTTTGAGCGATTTTTTTTTCCTGACTGTATTATCCGTGTGCACTTGAGTATATCTTTATGTATTAGGGAGCCCTCTGCTGTATGCTTGTGTTCATTACAACTTAGTCACCCACTCAGACCACTAGTTCAGGAAGAGCAGTCTTGTTCTCAGTCACACTGTGTATGTTGCGTGAGCAGTGTATGATGCATCATATATCACATCTCTTTCAGACAAATGCAGCCTGAATGGATCAACACAGGTCATCCTGCCTGTCTTCACCACTCTGGATCAGCATTGAAAACAGGTCTGGTATAACATTACTTAATTACCATATAGTAAAACACTATATGTACCTATAATAGATATGTTATTGACTACAACTTGTAGGCCTCTTATTAAATCTCAGAGTGAAATTAAACACAGATGTAAGTGTATATTATTAAGTTTCCATTAAGAGACCAAAGAAATAAAACAAACCCTATAAAACTGCAAAAACTACTTGTATTAGGTCTGGTATATTTGTGTGGTTTAGCAGATGCTGTGCTGCGTTAGGGCTCTGACACACCAAGCTGACGGTTTGGTTGGACGCTAGTCATTGTTGGGCTGTTGGCAAGCGTCTGTTCACCTAATTTTTGCGGAGTGTGTCCTACACTGTTGGTACAAGTCGGCTCTTGTTCATTTTTTCTAACCCATTCAGCATATTGAATTGGCATTGGACCATGGCTGAGAGAAATCACTCTGATTGGCAGTTCAGGTCAGTGCACGCGAAGACAGATGGAAGTGAGGAAAGCAAACAAACTATGGTTGAAAGGGCGGGACATCAAAACAAACTTGATGTATTAGATAAGATTTTGTTTAGTCATCGAGCTCTTTAGCAGAAAGGGTTTTGTAATTGTTAATGTTCGCTAGCACACTAGTGTTCGCTACGAGCTAGTTAGCTGTTAGCGGTAGTTTAGGTGCAGGTTTTTTAACTGATTCCTGTAAAGGAAGGGAAGTTGTACCTTTGCAGTAGATTTCTCCGTCCTTATCAGATAGTGTCGTTGACTCAAGGCTCTTCTTACATGTGGCACAGGTGAAACATCCCTGCTTGTGCCACGCCTGTAATTAAACAGAATATCCATTATAAAAGGGGTGGGGTTTTTTTTTGCGAGCTTGCACATGTGTGAGCATGTGTCTGTTTTCCCTTACACTCCCAGCTCCAATCACTTTCTCTGCAGCGTAGACAACCTTGCCACAGCGAGGGCACTTGTCTGACCCTCCAAACTTCTGAGCCAGCTTGGATGGGTTTGGATTGGTGGTGGGACGATGAGGAGCCGGTCTGATGGAGAAAGAAAGGAACCGTGCATTAAAGGCTTTTAAAGGTTAGAGGTTGAGGAATGTATGTCTGTGTTTAACTCACTCTTCAGGTGTAATGCCCAGAGACTCTCCCTTGTCCATGCTCAGTGTCCCTGCTCCCTGGCCATAGCCGTAGCCTTTTGGCCCGTATTTCTTGGAGTAGCACGCTTTGCAGTAAACTTCATCCTTATGAACAGTTACAGTTGTGCTGTCCAAATTCTTCCGACACACCACTGCAAAACACATTCACACACACACACACACACACACACACACACACACACGCACACGAACATGTATATTATTGTTTTGCATATTTGCGCTCATGTTTTCGAGCACATTTATATCTTTAGATAGGCTCCTAACTGTTTCCATATATGGAACAGTGCTATCAAAGAAGCATGTTCTCATCAAAATTCCATCATAGGAATGTGCGATTACAACGCAGGAACACAAATATTTTCACTCGACTCCATGACCCCACATATTTTTCCCGCTGAGGCAGAGAAACACTCAATACATTTATTTAAATTATATTAATTTTTTACACTTCATATGCATGTTTATGATTTTAAGATAAAAATACAAACAAAAATATACCCTTAACTGTTGAAAGTGTAGGCAGATGAGTTGGAGGTGTTTGCTAGAAACCTTTCTTACAAAAAAAAAAAAAAAAATCTAACTTAGCAACAGTAAATGACAAGTTTCAACCTCTAATAATCAAAGAGTGACAGTCCCTTATAGATCTTATTTATCAACACCAATGTTAAAATATCATACAGGGGGATAGCTGCATTTTATTATACTATTCCACCTGTGCACACGCATTTTTGGATTTTGGATTATTGCAGAAAATAAGCTTGGTGGCAAACACAAGTTTATGATACTTACAAGTTATGATAGGCAAGATAATCTTCACAAATTAGCGCCACTGTTATGATTTTTGAAGCGTAAATGTAGTCGCCAGAAGTTAAAAGCTAATATTAGGCTATAAAGAAACTACACTACGGTCACAAGACTTAACGTCACCACCACAGCGAGGCTGTAAAGGGTGTTTTGCGTGAAGACATTCTGTAGTCCCATTTAGCCACTTGTTAGCAACCACCTTTTTATAAGACACCTAAAAGCATGAAAATTTACGAGTGGGGGATTTGCTGACGTATTTCATGCAGTAGAAGGAAACCACAGACCTTATTTCAGGCACCTAACCAAAAACCCGTTCAAAAGACCCACTGACTTTAAGACAAGGAGCCGGGAGTGCTACAATGCTGACTCATTTCCGGGTTTTAGGACTCATTCCTGCACCAATCTATCAGTTTAGTATTACGTGTGACTTTAATTACAAGTGACAAGTGTCCGCAGCTTGGCGGTTACCATGCTCACAATGACAGGAAGCAGCAAAGAGTTTACTCACTGCACAGGAAGCAGGACTTGTGGAAGCTCCCCCCGTCACAGAGCACCTCCTCTGCGAAGTAAACTGTCTTCTTACAGCAGACACAGTTGTTTCCTCCTCCCAGTGGCATCCTTAGCGTGAACACAGACACACACAGACACACTGTGATGACAGCTTTTTTGTTTTTCAGCTTATCCTAGTTGTCTAGAAGCTCTCTATAAAGACAGTGATTGTTGTTTCAGAGAGTAGGAGCTAACAGTGGAGTTGTCATGTGACTAGAATTTGGAACTTTTATGCAATACCTTGAAAATATCAGTATTTGATAACATCCTTGATACCACAGGGGGAAAAATGCACTGAGGGCATACAATTTAAAATGTTACTAGATGCCAGAGGAGTAAAAATCTGTGTCTGTGGACAGTGTCTGTGTGTAAAAGGATTTATAAGTGTGTTTTTCTAAGCCATACAATAAAAATGCTTCTTTCTTGACCTGGTTTAAAAGCCTGTAATTTACTGGTGGAACTAGGGCTTAAATAGAAAAACAAATGTATCAATGCACGAATAAAGTCCTTGACACAACCATCGAGCAAACACATTTACAAGAGTTTCTGCTCTAACAACTCCATTTAAGCATCCAGATTTGGTCGCCTGTAATTGTGGCTTTGTGAAGCCGGGTCCCAGAGACTGTAATTTCACTCCTGCCAGTTCTCTGTGGCTTCTGTAACCGTCCAATAAGCCAGCAGGGAAGCAGAAAATGCAAGATTTTTTTGGTCATTTACTAGAGATGGCAGTTGTTGCTCTCTTGAAAAGTGGAGACAGCCAGCGTGGAAGTAACGTGAAAACGTGATTTTCCGAGGAGTCTTAAAGTTGGTGGAATGTGAGCGATCCTGGCATCCTGCCTGTTTCTACCCAGTGTTTCCCAGCACCACCCTCCCTGTCCAATCTCATGTATCCGTATCCACATTCCTGACTGGTAAACCCTCCCATCTCTCTCTCACCATCTACTCCCTGCCTGTCTGTGTCATTCTGCATCATTTCAGCAGACCTCTTAATCCGAGCTGTAGGTTTGTTCTATTCGGCAGGAAATATGTCAGATGAAGAAACAGCTGCAGATCTACCTGGGTCAGCTCTTTTTTCTTTTGGTCAGAGGACACAGCTGAGCTCTCAGAGCAGAGTACAGACATGTTAGGCCATTTCCTATCACCTTTTGACGCACTTCCTGTTTTTTTTTTGTGATTCTGAGACTCACCTAGAGGAGCTTAGCCCACCAGATTATCTCTCGCAATTCTTTAAAAGTAAATACAACACCCCGAAATTAAACATAACCTCTTTGCCGCTGTCACCAGATTGGTAGTTAATGTGAATATGAGATCATTGCATGACATTAAATCATAGCTCGGAGTGAAGTAATGGGTGGAGCAGTTTTTCTGGCTGCTGCTGCACCGTGGCTTTCCGTCATTGTAAGCACAGACTGTTTCAGTCTGTTTCTGGGGGTTATTCAAAGGCCAGGCAGTGAAATCCTAAAAGAGATATGGGAGTAATTGACTGGGAAGAAAAAGCTCTGCAGTTTTCTTGAGTGTAACTGGATTGGAGGGTGAATATCATCGCTGGGGAAGTACATTCATTAAACATGTATGTGTTACATATAAATACTTTATAGGATACAAAAAGGATCCTCACTTATGAAGTTTTTTTGCACACAGTCTGTCTCATATGTAAAAAGTTTTATTGCCCAGGCAAGCTAATTAATATAAAGCCAAAGTTGTTTGTGCTGAGTTTCTGGCTTTATCTGTAACTGCTTCAACAGTTGTCAACTTTCTGTCTGTGCTTTCAAAAATTAAAATTGAAACAACAAGTCACAAACTGAGGAGCATAACCGCACAAGTCTGAACTGAGGGTAAGGTCCAGGGAAACAGTGGCAAAGCAGGAGAAATATAGGATGTGAAACACAGAGGAAAGTGAAAGGCCTCAACAGCCACACTGGCATTTTGAGCATTATTTTATTCAAAGGCTTGTTGTTCGTATTTGTATTCTACAATCCTGGAAACAAGACCAGAGTTTTCAGTGAAAGCGGAAATATCAGGAATGTTTTTGTACCGGCCATTGGTAGAAATATATACTTTTAGAGCTTTCCAGCTGCCCAGCTAGGAAAATATGAGTCAAAGTGGTAAGTCCAATAACTCTCCAACTCTTTGATGTTGTTTTGCAGCAAATTTGGAGGCAAGACAATCAAAGAGGAGCAGAAAAAGATGTTGTGATGTGACGATGACTCCAACTCCCAGCTGCAGGATGCACAAAACAAGTAAACAGAAGGTGAGGAAAAACAGGAGAGGAATATGATGAAAGAGCCTAGTTAGTTACGTCAATATTTATTTAGACTTGTGCAGGTACAGGCTGCTCTGACTTGTTATGACGAGGCATCTGACAGGATTGACAGACGGCGATGGGTCTGACAGGGTTAACAGGTGTCATTTTAAACCACAGGGTGGAACTTTTAGAGAGGTGAGACTTCTCACTTGACAATTGTAATGGTTTTTGGGGCCATTTTTTTCTAGAAGCACGAGGTTTATGATTGATGTTAAGGCTTCTCTTAGACCAGTAACTTGTATTTTCACTACATGAATACTCAGCCATTATGTTAGCTCTGCAAGTTTGGACTTGTGGGCATGCAGATACTTTCACAGGAATGCTCAATTAAAACAGTGAATGTGAGGTAAGAAGTGGAAGCTTCTTGACAAATCAGGAAGTCCGCTCATGAAGCAAATGTGACTGCATGTGACATCTTTGTGATTTAGGCTGAGATAAACATCATAATAGGAGTTGCTCTTTGTTCTATATTAACATTTACACCTTTGTCATTCTCACCAGTGAGCTTAAAGATCTTAGCATACTGTATTTGGTTTTCTTACACACAGTGTTCCAAATTGTGTTAATGTTTAACTGCACACTTTAACTGTACACCTCTTGGCAAACTCTAATACATGATAGCTGTTCAAACAAATTCTGGCCTCACTTGCACTGAAAATGCTGTCACGTTGTGGCAGAGTGTTTCTCCCATCATGCATCGGCAGAAAGTAGGAAATTAGATAGAAGCAAGCAGAAAGCAGGAAGCTGTGATATATTAACATTTCTTACCTGCAGTTAGTAGGTGCTGTCAGTCAGTGGTGATGGACAGGTTACAGCTTGACTCCCTGGTCGGTGAAATGTAGCTCTGGGTGTGTTCAGGAAACCAGCAGTACAAAGTTAGGTGGAGGAGTTGCACTTTTAGTCTGCAGGAGAAAAGTAACTTCTCTCACTAACCTGATTTTTACGACTTTATCCCGGTGATACAAATGCTCTCAGACAGAGTTCGCTTTTCCACTCTGTTCCAGATGTGCTGAAAGGAAGGAGCCTCTTTTGTTGCAGCTTCAGTCCGCAAACTTACTGCGTGTTGAGCAACAGGAGTGGAGTTTCTGACTGAGTGATTGGCTGAGTGTGAGAAAGAGAGAGGGGGGGTGAATGGGGAGGGGACTTGGACTGAAAAGCCATGTATCCACTGCACAGTGGAAATATTTTATGCCGACAAAGAATTAGAGCCACAAACACAGTGAGGAAGAAAGAGGAACTATATACAGAAAAAAATATAAAGTGCGCTGTTTGTAATGTTGCAAGAGGATTTATGTTTTTTTTTCAAATTCCTACATTTTGAAATGCATTTTTTAATCTCCCTTTCCTTTTGTGTCACATTACTGCAGGCCGTTTTAGTAATTTCCTTTCTGGTGCAGTGACAGGATGCTAGGTTAATGTATGAAAATGTCTGTCATCTTTCATAAATTCCTTCCCCTTTCTGTTTGAGCTGTTTGTTTTTGGTTGTGGGCTGTACTGTACATGAAATCATGAAAAAGGCCCACTCTGCAGACTATAAAAGAGCTAAACTGGGTGAACTCTACTGTAAAAACAGTATGAAAATTTCATATCAAGATTTTAGTGAACAAAATTATCAGGGTTATCAGTATGATCAAGGTATTGTTAAAATGTGCCTGAATGTCCCCAAAGCACTGACACACAGTTGAAATCATTTCAGCAAGTTTTATATCAAAAACCACCAATAAAATTAGCAGCATTTTGCACTTTTTGTTTGCATTAACATTAAAATAATAACAAAGCCTTGACATATTTATATTTATATATGTATATATATATATACATGCTTATTTAAGCATATGAAGCCATTTCAAATGGATCAAATGATCTCGAGGCGCAGCGGGGGGCAGGAAGGGGGCAGGTTTGTGTGAAGCAGTCTGGATGAGAGTCAGCACCTCCGAGTCTGAGGCCATGACTTACCTATGGTCATGAGCTCTTGGTAGGGACTGAAAGAATGAGATCGCGGATACCAGCTGCCAAAATGAGTTTCCTCCTTGGGGTGGCTGGGCTCAGCCTTAGAGATAGGGTAAGGAGCTCAGACATCCGGAGGGAGCTCGGAGTAGAGCCACTGCTCCTTTGCGTTGAAACGGGTCAGTTGAGGTGGTTCGTGTATCTGATCAGGATGCCTCCTGCACGCCTCTCGCTGGAGGTGTTCCAGGCACGTCTCACTGGTAGGAGACCCCTGGGCAGACCCAGAACACGCTGGAGAGATTACATATCTCATCTGGCCTTGGAATGCCTTGGGGTCCCCCAGGAGGAGCTGGAAAGCCTTGCTGGGAAGGGGGACTTCTGGGGTGCTGTACATGTTCGTTGTTTTGCCCGTGTGCTTAACTTTCAGGAGACAATTCATGTATAATCGCATAGTCTTTATAGATGTTGTTTGTCTTATCTGTGCTGTAAAGCAAAGTGGGCCCAGACTTTCAACTTAAAAGATGACGGTGCCTCTCTGATTTGTTTGTCCCCCGCTGTCCGCACTGTCTGTCATTTTCCCCCATGTGAGTTTCTTTGTCACCGCAAGTTAGTTATCTTCGGTTCACTTTTACCTCTTTTCATTTGATAATCGCCACCACAAGGAGTCACGAAATAGTGACTCTGGTAGGTCAAGAGGCAGAGATATCCATTTAGAGCTCCTGTATGTTTTAATAGAAATATCGATAATCGATGCCAGAGTATTGATAATGTATTTCAAGATGAGTAATACAATTTTTTACCGCATCAATTTCATGGCCCACCCCTGATCAAATGTGCAGTAACATTAAAGATAGCCTGTCTTTGAAATGCTTGCTTGTCACTGTAGATGAGAGTCAGTAGCATCACTGGGTTTGCCTGCAACACACCCACTCTGTACACAAGAGAACAGCAAAACAAACCTATGTTGTGTGCTGCGCCTGCGTCTGGAAGATTGTTGCTATGTTTTGTTTGATACTGGTTAGTATTTACCGTGAGATTTTCAAAACTTGGTAATCAAACACATTGTTGAAGCTGTTATGATGTTTAAGTTTTCTGTCTTTGGCTTAAAGCATCGTCGCCAGTCCTGAAATACTTAAACATACTTAAACCTGAGAATAAGATTGTTGACAGGAATATAGGGAGGATATGTCCTTGGTGGATTGCAAAGGCTTAACCTTGGGTGGGAGAGAGTGAGTGTTTACTCTACACTAACCTCCCAGCTGACTGTGTCAAGAATTATCTTAAATGACTCATGTTCCCTTTTGATGTTTTGACTGAAGGTATTTTTTCCCCTCTGTTCTGTGTTTTATCTTATGATGCAGTAAATTCGTCACACTATCTTTTTATCTGTCTCGAGGTTAACCTTTAACTGATAATCAATTTGAGGAGTCCAGTGGTAAGTCGTCTGTTTTCTCTCATATACAGTAAATACGACACAGTCTCAAAGTAATTCCAGCCTTTGTATTTTATCACCACAGTCTTAAGTGACCTTTAGGGACGAGCTGGTAAAGGTCACTCTGAAATGCTTAATGGATGAGAAAGCATTAAATTGACTGAGGGGCTGCTTGCTAAAGCAGAGAGGATGATGAGGATTCAGCTCTTTAGTGATTGACCTCTGCTACCATCATGTGGTCACTATGGGTACTGCACACCAGGGCTGAAGTTTAAGAAACTTAATACAGTGACTCTTTACGCTGACTTGTATGTGCATTGTCAGTACGAACACATCAGTTACTGTTTGTTTAAATGCAGGGTTGCAACTAATGGCTGTTTTAAGTATTGATAAATGTTCATATTGAGTTTTTCATGATCATTCAGATTGTTCCTGTTTTTGTGTCAGTCCAAAGTGACATTTCCAGAAGTTAAATGTGTTTTCTGACAAACATTCTAAAAGTGTATTTTGTCATCTATCATAGAGGACTGAGATAGAAACTCAGCAAATATTTCCCAGCAAATATTTGAGAGGCTGGAGCTTTAGATTATTTTAGCATTTTTGTTAAAAAAAAAAAAAGACTTTAAGGTGAACTCCACAGTTCTTAGGTAGTACTACTGTCTATGTAAAAAAAAAAAAAAAAGTTGTATAAAGCCTTTTGTTGCTCCAGAGAGAGCTGCGCAAAATCTGATACACTGCTGAAGGTGATGTCACCTGAGGCTGAAGACCAAATGTTTGAAAATGAAAAAAATCTGGGTGTGTGGAGTTAAAAAGAAGCAATGTCACTAGTCCTCCGCAGCTCGCTCCTCATTTCTGCTTGAGGCTAGTGCCTCAAGGCTACATCAGCTGCCACTAGTAAAACACACCTAAATCTTTAATTGAACTATGAGCAATGAAGTTGCATTGTGGGTAATGTAGGGGGCAGGTTTTAAACAGAAAGAAGAATGTACAGAATAAAAAAGACAATGTCTCTGGTTTGATTTCTTCAGCTCTGGTTGGTGATGTATGTCCCATCGTGACTGGTGGAGGCTGCACAGTGATCGGCCACTATTTGAGGCAAGGTCTGTCGATAATAGTTTAAAACCAAGAGTAATCAAAGGTACAAGAGTGAAGAAGGCGCTGACACACTGGGGGACATGATGAATAAAAGACAGGAACATGCAAATATTTTGTGTTAAAACTATTCATGCTGGAAGCAATTTGCGACAGTTGCAACACTAAATAGAAGATCTGAATAGATTCGCACCAGCTCTTTCTTCAGAAAAAATTATGGATTCAGCATCTTCCAGAGATGATAACGTTGTCCTCCTCCTCCTCCTCACTCGAAAAAGAAGAGGAGATTTTGGGTACATCATGTTTTACAAAGAGAAGTGTTTCACTGCCTCATACAGCTTTCTTCTTATGTATGACGCTTAAGGCTTAATCTGCACAGAATCTCTTAGAGGGTTTCCTTAGTTACGGTAAAACATGAACTCATTTACTGTGTTGAAAGAGATTTTACAGCAGATAAAGTTTCCATGGAGATTGTTTGTTTGCTTGGACTTTATCGTCTCACAATGTTGGCTTATAGTTAGATAGTGAAAAAGGGCAGATGAAATGAAGACAAGAAAACCATATTGGTCAGAGGAGGAAAATATTATACCTCTGGAGGGATACAATCATAGAAAGCTCATACTACAAAGTAAATTTGATGCCCAAATACCTGAAAACAAAAAAAAAAAACAATTGTAGAAAGAAATTTTAACAAAAATGAATTCAGTCAAATCTTAAGTGTAAAATCCAAGGTGTATCCATTGTAGAGTCAGAGGTATCTCAAGTTTGTTTGTTTGTTTGTTTTGCGTTGGTTGCTAAGGTCATTTGTGCAACAGTTTTGGGGCGGGGGGTCATTTTAGTTCAGGGGCCACATACAGCCCAATTTGATCCCAAGTAGGCTGGACCACTGAAACCACTGCATAATAACCTATAAATATTAACCCCTTCAAATTTTTCTTTCATTCCGAAAACATTCATCCATTTACCAAACAAAGCAGAAAGAAAAATCATGTGCAAATTCAACAGTATGTCTCAGTTTTTCCATTTTCAGTCAGTCTAATACGCACTTTCATTACATGGGAGTTTTGTCAGTGCCTCAGCAGCAGGGTTCCACTAATATTGTTTGAAGACAAGTCTGATACAGACTCTTTTACACTGAAGCTGCTGGTTGACAATAGTTTGTACAATGTTAAATATCTTTAAATGTGACCACAGAAAGTACTTATTGTTATTTCAGAGAGCTGTATTCAGCCTCTAAGGCAGTATTTGGTGGGCCGGTTCTGGCCCCCCGGGCCATATGTTTGACACCGCTGGTCTAAGGAATTCCTTAAGTATAACACCAAGGCAAGGAGAAAACCATAAATACCTAAGTAAGCATTTTAAGGAACCTTAAGGAGAAGACTTATTTTGAGGAAACCTTAACTAGGACTTTAAGGAGAATCTAATGTTAAGGTGTTTGTGCAACCGCCCCCTAGTGACCACACAGGACACCCACAGGAGAGTCGTGGTAAATTCAGCCATGAGAAGTGAAAATCAAGAGTTGCAGTAGGAAATGTAAAACATGTTGTAGAGGCAAAAATATTCAGGGAAACACCAGTAATCAAAGATAGGTTTATTATACACGGTGCACCACACACCTTGGCAAGTTCCACACACTCAATCCACACACATTTAAAGTGAGCATTATCCCACTTTAGGCACAACCAAAACCGCTGTAACTGGTTGATATGCACGCACACAAATCCTGACGAAATGCTTTGTACACCGTGTAATGCCTCGGCAGTCTCAGCTTCTCAAAACATGTTGAAGCTGTCGGAAGTGTGGCCTCAACTATTTCCACCTTCATCTCTGTGGCCGGCACCTCCCATCCTATCCAGAACTTTATGAGGCTCTTTAGCTCAGCTGGAGACGCTGTGTTAAAAATGCAGCTGATTAGTCGACACAGAATCCACTGAAAAGGTTTCATGCTGCAGCAGCTCGAAAGATGTCACAGTAACAGTAGTTTTATTGCACATACCGTTTTCGATAAATGTTTTCAAGTAGCCAGATACTCGACATACATCCATGACATTGGACTCGCCATCGTCTTCAACTTTGTAGCTCTCGAAGAAGACAGTTATAGACGTTGGCCATGTGATGCAATCCAAGACCATCTGAAATCACATGTAACTCCATCTGTATTCAAAACAATCTACTATCTCAGTAGTTTTTGGCATTGGTGCAATCAACAGTCCCAAATAAGTGAAGGAAAAGTAAATGGCACCAACAACAATCATAGGTCCAAGAAACCTTGTCTGAATAAGGACCAGTTGTTTGCAGTATTAGTGTACTGATATATGTGCTTTTGCTGCTGTACCTGAGGTGTCACTTGTGCTTCTGATTCCCTGGGAAACAGGATTGGGATTACGTCTCTTCTGTGAACGAGAAGTGGCCACAGTCCTGTCTCTTTTAAGCCTTTTTGGAACTGATTGATTTGACGCCTTGTTTGCTCGATAACCTGCAATACAGGAGACACGGCATGTTGTACACAAAATTATTCATCAGTTATCATCTCTCTTATCCCTGTTCCTTGAAATTACCACTTAAACTGATTCTGTTCAGGGTTCTTGGAACCATGGTCCTACAGTATCTAGTGAATGTGCATGTGTTTTCTCCAGTCTTCACTTAACGTGTTTGTGCAGGTGGCTCCAGGTGCTCAAACTGGAATGGAACCCTTTCCATGTTGGTGTTAGCCTGGTTACAGACCACAGACCCCGCCCATTCAACTGAGTAGGCTTGCGTCTCTGGTCTGGCATACTGCAATGAATTTGTGATTTATCTCGTCCAAACGATGGAAGGACCAATGAACGCCTGGGGTGGGGGTGGGTCTAGCGATTAGCCAATCAGCGCCATGCTAATGGCGACCGCTACAGATCCTACAGACCACATTAACGATGCTATCGAGGTATTTCGCCACTACTCGCGTTAATGGAGGACCAAATTAAGGAAGCTGCTAAACTGGATTTAACGGCAATGCAGCTGGGCGTGCACTACGTTGGAGACATTTTAAACGGGCAATGCTCGCTTGTTTTCAGCACCCCTGAGGCATGGATACTAATGACATCAGATTCTGGGTGAGTCGTTGATCTCTACTGATTGGTTAGGGAAAAATCAAATTCCCTCCCCCTTGTAAATCGCCTTCAATGGAGGCAATGTCAGACTGAAGGTTCTGGGAGCTTCAGTCTGACACTCAGGCTATGTTGGTGAAAAGGGGCATCAGAGGCTTTAAAGTGGGAGGTGATGAAGTGAAGGTTAATTAACGTGGCCAAATGTTTTAAGTGTTTTCTGACCTAACCACAACTGAATATCTTCATAGGCACCTATTAAATGTCCTCATGTGTACCTTATTTTATGATGCCAAAATTAACTAAAACTCAGAGACATGACCAACTTATGACATTTGGATAGTCTACACACAAAAAGCCAAACAAAAGGCCTCTGGCTTCAGATAATTGGAAACTAAGCAATAATATTTATTGTTGGTGTCTGGATGCAGAGGGACTTGTGATGGTTGTAACAATAGAGGGTTAAAATTGTCTTGAAAGATAAACTGGAAAACAGCCAATGCCTGTCTTGTTGTGGCTGTTCTGCTTATTGATAAGACTTTCTCAGATTTTGCTTTAGTTGACAAGTAAACAGATTAGATTTTGATGTCCCTTTTTTCTTGCTGACAAGTAGATTCAACTCTGTATCTGGGTGACAACACGCCATTTGCAATAAATTGCTGAAATGGCAGGCAGCAAAAAACTTATTTTTTCTGAACCATCATCAAGTTTGTAAAAAAAAAAGCAATCTCTGTTATTAAAAATATAACAAGATAAGTATGGGAGCCCATAGGGGACTTTAATAAAATGGTAATGTAAACTTAAATAAAAAATGTACATCTACAATCACATTATAATTTTCCACATTTGTATGCGATAGTAAAAGTTCAAAAATGCAATAATCCAATTTTCAGTTTCAAACAAGTCTCTGAAAATAGAATGTTAAATGTTTTCATTTTCATTTTTAAATGGTTTGAAATATTACCCTTAATTGTGCCTTAAAATGCAAATGTAAAAGTAGGCTACATTTTTTATATTGAATTTTAATTTTCAATTTTTATTTAATATTTAAATATGATCAACAATACAGCAGGTTAAGTCTTTGAAGATAAAATGTCAAATGCCATTTTCTTTTTCAAATTGTTAGAAAATGGCATTTTAATTGTGCTTTAAAAATGTTTGCACAGATGGAAAATCAGGTTACACTTTTTATATTGCATTTTAATTTTCAAATTTTAATACAAATTTTAATATTATCCTCTGTAAAGTGAGGTACATTTTTTTTAATTAAATGTCAAACAGCTTTTCTATTTAAATTTAATAATGTAATAGAACGCCCATGCGAGTATGTAAAAATTAAAATGGTAATTGGATTACTGCATTTTTATTGTAGTTTTTACTCAAATAATGTAAAAATTATAATGCTAGTGTGAAATTACATTTTCATTTTCAACTTTACATTATCCTTTTTATAAAATCTCTAATGGGCTTCCTTAAAATGAGGATGTAGGCAATGCCCTTTGGAATACTCTTTAAGGACATGGTGAAATGATGCTGTACGTTACAGTGACATTCAGTGTGGTTGGCACCAGTGTGGAGAAGTTAACATAAGTTAAGAAGCTAAAATAGAATAAATAGAAACACTTTGACATTACAGCATGCAGGAGAAGCTTTTTAGACAGCCATTTCCTGTTGGTGGCATTTGGTGCTGGCAGGTCCCACGACAGGCAGAGCTGATGGATGGCGTCAAATTCGTTTAACTCGGCATCTCCATCAAGCTGGATAAAACATAATGGCAAAACATGTTTTATTCATGCAGCATGCGCAGAATAAATTACATTGCAGTTTCATGATGCTGAGTTCACTGCATTAAGTGACATATAGAGAGCCTTTTAGGGGATCATATGTTTTCATGTTGTGTATTGATCATAGTTAAAGTCAGTGCTCACCATTTTCACAGCGTCTCGGACGTCGAGGTCAGGGCAGTCTCGTATTGTCACAGGAGTTGTTTCCAACGAACCGCCAAAGAGGATGTGAATTATGGCTGGGCTAAGTCCAGGGAAACTCGGGCCGTGATGCAAGAAGGAATGGCCGATCATCCGGCCTGCGACTGCGAACATGTTATTGTCAAGGAGTGACTCTGAAACTGAGGGGACGAGATGATCAGGCTCACCTTCGAAGACTTTTGTGATGGCTGCATTTTCTGCAACAGAGTATTAGAAAAGATTCAGAACACAAGGTGATTGAAAGAAGGAAAGAAAACAAAGAAGGAAGAAAAATACATTTGTGCAGAGATAGTAAGTCAGTGCTGACTTTGATATGAGATCTCTTATTTTGTGGTTGTTGTCATTTATGAATTGGATCCTTCACTCACATGATATCTGATAAACTATTGTAATCGTACTGTAATTATTCATAATACATTTCACATAAATGGTCAGTAGTTTCTTATGAATAACTTAACTTATTTAATATTTTGGGGAAATTTCATTAATATTTTTCAGACATTTTCTTAATATTTCTATTAATATTAAATTAGTAGAATATCAGAAAAAATAATAATAAAATGTCTGAAAAAAAATAAATTAAATGTCCCACAAATATTTATAGAATGTCAAATTTTTTTATAAAATGTCAGAAAAAAATATTAACAAAACTGTCCGAAAAAATATTGATAAAATCTCTGAAAAATATTTATAAAATGTCCAAAAAATAAATAAAATGAAAATAAATGTTAATAAAATGTCCAGAAAAAAATCAATAAAATGTATGACACATTGTTTTCATAATCTTGTATAAATATTAATCTAAAATAAAAACGATACAGCTACAACATTCTTTTATAGCAGAAAGCTTCTGCCTTCTGTGACATCACATTGTACGATCGTGATGACGTCACTGCGCCACTCAAAGACTAAATGACATACTCAGTTCAATGCACTGACGGAGTGTTAGGAAATATTCAATTTATGTTTCTACATTTAAAAATTTTTTTACATTTAAAATGTTTTGGTGTTGATTTTGTTAAATCTGATTTTTGTTTCATTTTAAAAACACATTTTAAATACGTTCATCAGTTTTTTTTAGTTCAGTGACGTGCTAATCTTTCAGCTGAGGTCGGACAGATTTATTTCCCTTGAATTCTGTTCTTGCAGTTTAACTGGTTGCAACAGTAGATAGCAGCAGAAGTTATCTCTCTGTAATAACGTAAACATTTCCTTTTTTTAAACTTATATTTAGTGATCTGCAGGCTTGTGACTTCTGTAGTCTGAATCAGCATTGTAGCTGTGTTTGTTTTGGTGTCTGACCTAAGTTTTTATGAAATCCACTCATAAGTTTGAAAATCACTGTTGACATCATGTGACGGTCGACCCCACTTCCTGATGCAACATCACCTGTAAAGAAAGACATTTTGTTATGTAAATCACTTTGCTGACCAATGGTATTTATTTTTATTTGCTAAAGGGATAGTTCAGATTTTTTGAAGTGGTGTTGTATGAGGTGCTTATCCATAGTCAGTATATTGCCTACAGTAGATGACAGTCAGCGCGCACCCAGTTTGGAGAAGCAGGCAGGAGTGCTGCCATGGAAGCTGAGCAATGTACTGCTGTGGATGGGGGCAGCTGCAAAAATGTATTCTTATCATCTAAAAAAAATCAATATCACTTCAAGTGTATGTCTTAAGAATATTTTCACAGCTTTACCTTGTGGCCAGACAGCCCTTTCTGAAACTGGCTTGAACTAAAACAGACTTACCTATGCTCTCGTCAAAACCAGACTCCATTGATAAAAACAGTAATTTTACCTTGCAGGGCGCAGGAGCTGCTGGTCTACTGCTGCCTTGATCTGTTAGTTTGTTTGTGTTATTGTGTGACTTTGGTGTTTGAAAGGGCTGGTTTGGATTCACAAAGTCACACAAAAACACTGACAATCTAACAAATCGAGGCAGCGATAGACCAACAACTACTGTGTTCAGTGAGGTAAAATTACTGTTTCTGTCAATGCAGTCTGGTGGCCTTGAAGAGAGCATAGATAACTTTCAGGTTCCAGTCAGTTGCCTGTCGGAAAGGGCTCTCTGACGGCAATCTAAACCGAGATTTATTTTGTTGGTGGAACTTTTTTAGGTGGCTAGCGGTATATTTCTTAGCTTCTGTGGTGGCATTCCTGCCTGCATCTCCAAACTGGGGGGGCCGCTGACCATCATCTACTGCAATTAATACACTGACCATGGGTAAGTGCTTTATACAACCCCATGTAAAAAAACATCTGAACTACCCCGTTAAAGCAGTACTATTTATTTGACCAGCCACTACCTAGAAGTTTGCATCGTAGTGGCGACGTCCACCGAACATTGTCTCTCTTGTAGAACTTGATTAAAGTTTGGTCTTGCTCCTCTTTGTCTTGTCTGATGTCCACGCTCAGAAATAGGTTGATTGAATTTCTGTTGCTGTGGAGAAGGTCTTGTGAAAATAGCCAACCAGCTTGTTTTGGATCGGACACTGCTCTCCATTCTGAGACAGCACCTAAAAGAGCAAAACAAGAAGATAAAATATGAATTATTTGAAATTAATGAGAAATGAAGGGACTCTAATGACTATATATTTTTTAAACAAATCAAAGAAATATGTACCGCATGTGGTACTCATGGTACTGTCTTCTCTTTCCTCCATGTCTGTCGGTACTGATTAGATCATATAGACCGCTTAATCCAATCTGCAACACATGGATCAATGGTGAGGTGTAGGGTAAATTGCAAATGCTGGATGTAAATAACAGCCCCGTGTTTAAACAAGTCGTAACTAGAAACATGTCAAATTGCAGGGCTGCTATTAAAGAGGTATGCAGCTCGTCTTGAGAGCGACCCTCAGGCAGGAGGGAAAAGAGAGTCATGTTTGTGGCTCCTCAACATTTAACCTTTTTAGATCTGACCATGAGCTAGCAAAGTAGCTTTTCTATCTACTGTACAGTACGTTGCTTTTGACTTTATGAGTTTGGATAATGGACGACTTTGCTTCTGACTAAACTTTGGGTTGATGATATATCAAACTTACTTTTCCCCCTACAATTCTAAACATTTAGGAATTGTTTTTCTTTCTTTATGTAAAGTTTTTGTGAGTACAATCTAGTGTTAAGTTATGTCATGTATTACATATATCAATTGAGATGAAACTTTGACCAAGTATAATTTAGATTTTTAGCAAGGTTAACAGAAAAATAATGTCAAATAGTCACATAAAAAAATAACAGTAATAAAAAAGAAAGAAAAGGTAATGGTCAGAGGGAGGTTGCAGCTGTGCTTACCTGTGAAGATCTGTGACAGTCTCCTCTCTGTTTCTTGTGTTTACTGTCAGTGCTGTCATTGGGTATGGGTGGGAATTTTAACTCCCAGTAGTCTGAGCTGGTTTAACTTGTCAGTACAGGTATTGTAAATGCAGAAAGAGTCTAGCTTAGCCTGAGGCAGCGACATTTTCTTTTGAAGGGCAACATTTTAAAGGTGATGGTCAACAGATTCTTTCCTCATATTGCTAACAGGTCGCAACCAGGACTGGGTCAGATATTTAAAATCAGTATTACAATATGAAATAAAATATAGCTTCAGTAGGTCTTCTATTATTTAGTCATAGCACAATATATTGAAATATATGACAATATTGGATTTTCATCCTGCTCTGTTCAAAACACTTATAAATGGAAGACACTACTTTTTATTATGCTTAATATTTAATTAAAGATTATGCTGAACCAAAAATAACGACCACATGGCTTTGTGTGGCAAGGACTCGATTTATCTGGTGACATCACTGATGAATGGATGCCATCATTAATCTTGCACATATCAGCCTCAGTAAACGTGCCACTTTGAGTGTATCACCGTAACTATTTTTTTTTCCTTCAAAGCACATATGAGACATGTATTTTTATGATGCATCAAATAGAATTAGGATTGTTTTCTGTGGTCAAAATGTTCTCATTACCTCCAGAGTGTTGTGAAGTCCAAAAGTCAAATTTTATTAAAGAAAGATTGATGTAATAATTTCCAAACAAACATGTCAAGTTTGTCAAAAACATGCTTTATTTTTAAGTACAGTGACTCTACGGCACAGAGCTTTTATTTTGAAGTGCCATGTCCTACTGTAGAGTGAGTAACTAACAGAAAGCTACTTGACAGAGACAACAAACTAGCTCGACAACATAGCTAAAAGCAATTATGACCCTGAATGTATTTGACTGTGTGGACCTTGAACTAATGACTAAGGAGAAATCTGGACTGTGTTGCTTGACCAGTTGGGAACCACTGTTCTAGACCAGAGGATCTTAAACTCAAGCCCTTTTTAAATAGGAATTGTGCAAATTTGCAGGAAAGCCCAATCAGTCTTTTTTCAGCATTGGCAGTATAAAAACAAAATCGGGGAGTGCGGCAAAATGCCGCCTACCTACTTTTGTTTATACAGAATGCGCCTTTTTCGGGGCAATGGGAGGTGTGAGCAAGTAACAAAACGTGTAGCTCAGCGTGTGACGTAAACAGTGACGTGAGTGGGAAGCCGCTGCTGGTCAGTCCTTCGGCGATTCTCTCGTAAGTCAGCCCGTTCTTCACCGTCCCCGTCATCTGACGGTTAATGGCCTCTTCGTTAATTCCTTGTCTCCCCAGTTGCTCATCTTTACAGTGTCTGTCAGGTTTGTGTTTCCCTCTTGCTACTAGCAGCTCACTAATTCCTGCTATCAGCTGTTTCCTGTTTATCCACCGCCAGTGGCTCACACGTGTGGCGTCATCAGCAGCTCCTCCCACAAGTCTTCAACAGCCCCTCCTGTTGCGGAAGGCCGCCTTGGTCTGTTTAAACTAAAGGGGTCCTGCCAATGTGACTACCCCACGAGGCGGAAAATCGGGCACCTCGCATCAACTCGCCAATCCGGCTCTGTGTGTCTAAACGCTTGCAGCTTGCCAGCAAAACAGCCCAACATCCGCCAAAAATCTGGCGGTGTAAAAGGGACTTATGGAACATGTGCCCCTGGTGTTACACAAGCTCCCTCTAGTGGTGGCACCTCCGAAATATTTTGAAATATTTTTAGAAATGAAATCAAACGTATATAATGCTATCAAAATACTTAATATCTAAACTATGAGATCCCTGAAATGTAAAATAAGTTTTGCCTTTCCTGTAATATTTTTGTTTTATCAGCCTGCTACATTGTCACGATCGTGAACATAGAGCGCACGTAGATACGTCGAGGTAAAATGAGTCGCAGTTGTGGCTCCAAATGGAAACTATTACAAACAGAAGTGCAGATCGAGGGAGAGTAGTTTGAGCAGCCCTTTTGAAATTGTGGTGGATGACGAGCAACCTAGCGCAAGTCTCCACAGCATTTGGTGGAGGGCTGGCTTTGTGGTGTGAGAGTTATGTGGAGGAGTCTAAGTGCCAGTTGTAGTGCCTCCCCTTACAGCATGGCCGTGGCAGACAGCAATAAATAATCTTGTGAGTAGAGATAAACCTGCCTTCTGTGAGAACTGTCCACAGCTGAGTAGGGGAGGCCTACACTACAGTATGTTAACACTGGTCATAGTTGTTGTATTTGGAGAGCACAGTATTTTCAGAGGTGGTACGTGTTGGGAAAGGGTTGAGAACTACTGTTCTAAACAACTTAAGAAGATTGGTTACTTATATGATGATGTGTTCAAATGTAGACAAATGTAGAATGTAGATATATTGGTCAGCTCTGTCTGGTTCCTCTCAAAACCATTAAGACTCTTTCTGGCCTTGTGATATGCAGCCTTCGTAATGTGAAATATGTTTAGTCTCACTTTTAGACCGGGACAGCGTGTTGTAAGATGAGGCACTCTGACGCCATCTAGAGTTAAATTTGCAGTCTCACAAGGCACATTCGTAAACAGACAAACCCCAGTTTGCTGGTGACCTTGGTGGATGGAGCAGTGTGGTAATGAGATACAAACATTCACAGGGAACTGGTAACTTCCTCCAGGCTACATTAACCTGCTGTGTTTTGTGTTTCAGTACTTCTGTATTTTGTGTGTGTGTGTGTGTGTGTGTGTGTGTGTGTGATTATTTTACCCATCTCATTTAAGCGACACATCTGAGGCCCCGTGTTCCAGACAGTCAACATGTTAGAGTAGACCCCCCCCCCTCCATCCCTCCAGATGTCCCTCCGGGTGACAGTGACACAAGTGTCCCTTTGTCACAACAGCGTCTCTCAGGGGGGAGGACATGCCTTGGGGGACATCAGTAGATTAGCTATGACATTAACCCCCCGGCCCATAACACACACACACACACACACGTCACAGACGCTTGCACACTCCTACCCATAATCCCTCTGTTACAAGTCACTTCCCGTTTCATGAGCCACTGAGACAAAGCAACAGATCATGTGAGTGTGTTCTGTGCTGGGGGCTGACTTCAGGGTGACTCTCACACATTTGAATCCCCAGTTGGGAGCTGAAAACACACACAAGAGCGGCCTTGACGTTAATGTGAGTATTTGGAGGTGAGCAATTAAGTGACTGTGGTCTACAGCATGAAGGGCATACTGTACTGTGTGAGGGGGAGGAAGAGGAGGAGGGACGTGGTTGGGGGGTCATGTGTACAGTGTGCATGTGTTCTGTATGTGTGGGGGAGGTGCTGTGCTTGTTAGGCTGTGGGCTGTGTCCTAATAGCATTTATCAATTTATCATGGACGGTTGAGCACTTGATGTGTGTATTAGCATACTGCAGGGAAGCAGCACATATGTTTTATTATTTATATATCTTTTATATATCAGTGCAGATAAGTCAAGTGTAAGCACAGCTAGTCAATGCCTGATCAATACGTGATCAGCCAGAGAGCTCTGACTCTGAGGACCCTCATGGACCATTCAGACCACTGACTTACTGAACACAACTTCTTACAGATAACGTATTGACAATCTGTGAAGCTGCAGAGGGGTCGCTGAAAAAAAAAAAAAAAAAAAAAAAAAGACACAGTTACAGACCTATTTTACGAGTCGGATGCTGCTGTGTATCACAACCCTTATTAAATATTCAGCACAGTCCCTTATGTCAGTGTGTCAAACTGTAAGCCAGCACAGCAGAAATATGAGAGCAGAGAGAAGACAGAAATAGAGACAGAGAGTAAGAGACTGAGATGCAGAGAAAGACAGACAGTGCCTGGGGAGGGAGCAGGGATTGAAAAGCAAAAAAACACAAAGTAAGCAGGTTGTTGTTATTCGTGTGAGTACACACGAGAAAATCTGTTGTCCAGTAGTCGAAATAGCAAATAAAAAAACATCTTTGGAGCTTTTCAGGTGGTTACTACGAGTGATGAAATCAGTTTCACACCTCCGTGTCTGCGAACAGCGAGGTCCCAGCTCTGTGTCTCACTGCTGTTACATTTGAACATTTCACTCTGTTTGTAAACTGGATCAGATGTTTCCATTGGACTGGCTGCATGTGATGAGATTCTTGCAGCATGTGTGGTGTGTGAGGATGGATAGACGTAGATGGTCCGAAGAAGTTCAAGGTCAGACCCGGGATGTGTTTCATTACTCTGAATTTGGAGAGGAGAGGAGAGGTTGTTGATTTCTCCATCGCTCCCTCCTGCCCTCTCCTGCTTTGTATCCTTCTCATTCTGTCTCTGTCGTCTTTCATTAGAGGTGTGGGACAAATCAGAGGAGTGATGGATGGGCCGTTCCTCCTTCAGGATGCTTTCTCCTGCAGGCATGTGCACTGAGCATGCCAGCAGACACAGATTTAGACATCAGATGTACGCGTGTGTCTCTGCGTGTTTGTGCACATTTTCATTTGTCGTCAGAGGGTCTATCATTTGCACACCCTGATTTTTTTCTGTCTTCTTTCGTCCCGCTTTTTCCTGACCACCAATTAGACTTCGAAAGCCAGATGATGGGTTTCAGCTTTTCACATTTGTGGCTACATCTGCTTAATTACAATGTATTACTCACACTATACGGACCATGTGTGTATACCCCTCTTACACACACACACACAGACACACACACACAAACCACACTCATCCAGCTAATGGACCGGCCTGTCTTTGCTTTTGCTGGGCTTATATTTCACCTCAGAAAGAGGGAGGGAGGGAGGGAGGGAGCGCAGCCAACAGGTCCATTACTGAGCGATAGAGATTGTGATGAGGGGAGGAAAAAACAGAAAGAGAGGGGCGGAGACACGGCTGCAGGCGTACTGCGGCAGCAGCAGAGCGGCATGACGTGATAGAGGGGTGGAAATGACAGACAAGAGAGACACACACAAATGCACATGCTCGCAGCTCGGAGGCCAGCCAGCCAAAAGTAGACAGAAGCAAAGGAAGGCAGGGAGCGAGCCTGACGCGCTCAGCAGCATACAGATCGGAGACAAACTCACTTGCTGCTTTCTGTCCTGATGCTTGCAGAGGGTGAGTGCAGCCTTGGTTCATATTTTAGGTTTATGTTTATGCATTTGTCATGTAACTGTTGTGTATCTGTGTTTTCTCATTTGTGCAAGTGTTAACTATGACTGCCAAATTGTGTGAACAGATAAACACTCACACTGTGTTTTAAGGGATAAACACGTTCACGCAGTCAGCAGCGCAACAGAGAGATGGCGTTAGAGTGGAAGAGAGAGGTTAACAGAGAGAAAGGCAGAGCTTAAGTGGGATGAAGAGAGGGGGAGAGGGGGTGATAGAGGAGGGGGTGTACCGTAACCAGGGGTGACGTGATGCGATCGGCCTGAGTCAGCGGTATAGGGGCTGTATGACTCAGTGCAGCATACTATAGTGTGTGTCTAAGATCAGTAGAGAGTGTTGGACGACATGAGGAGTTGTAGCAGTGAATCAGAATGGAGGGAAACTGTTGGTGCACACATGGAGATGTTTATGTGGTCGGCCGTCTCTCTCCTGTTTAGTTTGTGTGGGTGCTTGTGTTTGTCTCTCTTTGCTGCTATAATGAGCGCAGTGTAATGAGTGTGTGTGTGTGTGTGTGTGTGTTAAACATGCATCATTTTTGCAGGTCGGGAGTGATTCACGCTCTTCATAGAAATCTTGTGAAACTCTGATGACGTCTCCATGTGGTTGTATTAGGTTTCATTAAAAACCTCATAACACCAGCTTTCATGTAACTTCAGTGGTCATCCTCAGTGAATGAAACCATTGTATGACAAGGTCTAACACAGGAATTCAATGCCAGATTAGTCTATCTTTGAATAAGGCCTTAATTTGTATTAAAATGTCTTAAATCACCCTTTCAAAAGTCTTAAAAATGCTAAGACATGGGAAGTAGGATTTTATGAATCATGGTTTTCTGACATTGTATTTTAAAGTTCTGAATTTTTGTAACATCTGTTTTTATTTTTAGATTATTCACCGAATGCCTCTTGCATAGCTTGACAATGTGGAAAAGTGCAAACTCAACAAAAACTTGGAAAATTGTGGTTAAATTACCAAGATTTTTTTTTTTTTGCAGCATGGCTGAAACTGGTACAATGCAGTGCTCACGGCAGTTGTGGGAAATTTTCCTTGAGGGCTTTCTACCAGAGAGGGATCTCTACGTTAACGTAAGAACAAAGTCGTGGTTTGGGTTAAAATTAATAGATTTCTGTCAGAAATTGCTGTCTTGGAGAAATCCTACAAGGAAAAGTTCTCCCGTGTACATGCGTTCAAGGCTCGGTGAATTTTACGTAAAGTTCTTCATACTCGGCATGATGGAAATCAAGGTAGTTGAATCCCACATGAAGAGTGAGAAACACAAAATCGGTAAGAAAACCTGCCAACAAATAGCAGATATTTTCTTGCTCTGTTCTACCCTTATCCTCTCTGCGTAATATTTCGGTAAAATTGTCCCTATCCCTAAGTCACTGATGTGGGTTCATGTCTTTATGCCTCCCTGCCGCCGATAGCCATGGCCTGGGGCATAATGTTTTTGGGTTGTCCATCTATCCTTTCCATTCTTGTGAACGTGATATGGGGTGGATGTGGCTCAGAGGTAGAGCGGGTCGTCCACCAATCTGAAGATCAACGGTTTGATTCCCGGCTCCTCCAGTCTGCACGTCGAAGTATCCTTTAGCAAGATACTGAATCCCAAATTGCTCCCAATGGCGCTTCCATTGGTGTGTGAGTGTGTGAGTAGTGTGGTAGCCTTGGCCACCAGAGTATGAATGTGACTCGTGTGAAAGAAGTGCTTTGAGTGGTCGCATGACTAGGAAGGTGCCATACAAATGCAGGTCCATTTACCATTTACCATATCCCAAGAACACCTTGTGGGAATTCCTTCAAATTTGGCACAAACATCCACTTGGACTCAAAGCTGAGCTGATTAGAATTTGATGATCAAAGGTCAAAGGTCAAGTGAAGAAGTGATGGCATTTCATTTTGAAAAGGTCAGCTTCAGTGTGGTATCATAATGTTCTGGCCATTATTCAGTGCCATAACCAAGGAACAGAAGGGGAGACATTTGGTCAGATGTTGAATTAGTTAAACTAATCATTTGACTGCTGACTGTTTAGATCTTCTGTGCTGGCAGGTTAAAGATATGTGTGAAGCATCCACGTTTTTAGAATGTGTAGAAACATCCATAATTGAGCTATTGTCAACTGTCATGGCCACATATGGGTGTGGACAGACATGGATGTAAACTGTAACTACAACTTGTTTGTGACGTCATGCAATCGTGAGGCTATAATTATAGTTTTTCGTCAGTTTTGGTTATTGTTAAGTCTCAAAGTTCATTCTGATTACCATTAAAATATCTCAAACAGTCCTAAACCTAACCTGCCTTAAACTGTAGTAATGCTGGTGTGAAATCAAAGATACGCCATGATGAAATGAAAACCAAAACATTAGTCGTGTCCCTGCACTGTCGACAAGCTGGAGATACAAGGTTTGTAGATGACCTAAATGCTAGGTGATTTTTGGCGATGACAGAATATGTGTCATGGCAGGTCACTGTCAGCCATATAAATTTCCATCTGGGTCACTGACTCATGACAACATAAACAGTCTTCATTGTTCAAACACACATTTTTTTCACGTGTCTGAAATGACTTTTTTTTTTTCCCCCAAAAGATGAGAACACTGATTTCATCCAAGAAAGTGACTTTGAAAATGAGTCACTTCGTTGCTCCGGCCCTCTGATTGGACAAAAATGTCGTTCCCGTTTGTCACAGCTTCCTGTCTCGTTGAATGGTGAGGCGCGGCTGACCAATGGGAGGACAGCGGTGAGGATGCAACTGTGATCCAGGAAAAAACAGCCCATTGTTCCCAGGACGTCGGAGAAGTGTGACCACCGTCCTGCCGGCTCTGGCTGCTCGGCCTAACGGCACACTGAAGGACGCGACACTCCACTGACAGGTAGGACACTCGGGGGACAGCAGATCTGGCACATGACATTTTTATAATAAGTTGCGTATGAGCTTCAGATGTTGTTATTTTTACTCTGCTGTGACTTCTGAGGAAACTGAGTCTTTCTAGGAACAGCTCACTGAAGTGTCTCTGCACCTCTGTGTGTCACCAGCATACTGTATGATGATTTATGACAGCACATTATCACTGTTGCTTTGGTTGTTGTCATTAAGGAGGTAATTACATTCATTTATCGTTGACTTTCCAGACTGGGTGACACACACACAAACACAAAGGCGCTGCTAATGTCCTTCAGTTCACAGACAGAGAGGCCTGTGTTACCACCTCACGTATTGATTTTGTGATGAGTCAGAGGGTTTTTTTTATCACAAGAGTGAGTGTGTGAAGAGAGAGCGGAGGGGGGTTGCATGTTTGTTTGATCAGAGATACAGTAACAGAATTCAGGTGGAGTATGTCATGGGACACATGAGCTTAAATACTGTAATATGATAATGAAGTTAGGAACTAACATCTAATGCTGGCTGTCATGCTATCCTTCTTCTTTTCCTCCTTACACAAAGTACATTTCTGACCTGCTGTTATTTATGACCGAGGTGAAAAAGTGCTTTCAGTCACCTCATGTACTGTAGTTTACCGCTCAGCTATGTGGATACTTAGGTAATTAGACAGAAGGGAAGATCAGTGAGAGTGAAAGTCCCTGCTGCTGTTGCACACAGTGTCCAGCAGATGTCAGTACCACCCTAGCAGAATAACTGAGGACTAGTCAAATGCTCTTTATCAGCAGTTTGCCAAAAATTTGCTGAACTGATGATCATTACATTCACTTGCAACAAAAATACAGAAATTATCCATGTGTTTTTGCCATTATACAAAATTAATGATGAAGTGCACTTACAGTGATTCTAATCCAAGGCACACCAAGGCGCACCAAAGGGCAAGCTAATATCTAACACCTGTATTTATATCCGTGCACAATAGCTTGTATAACATGTGTTATCACTCTTAATATGACATAAGAAAATAAAAATAATACAAAATAAGACAGGTAGCTTTCGTGATACTGTCTACTGAATTTTTTTTTTTTTTTTTGGTGGTAGGTCGTCTTTGCTGGTGCTTTGTTGTCAGTTGCTCTGTACAATAAAGCGATCCATTGTCCCACTCACGGCTGTCTCCTTTTAAATGTTATCATCCCTCACACTGGCTGGCAGTCAGGGCTTTTCATGTGCAACACACTTATAATTCCCACGCACGAACGGTGACAATTAGGTTCCCAGTGAAGGTTTTTTAAATTAAATTAGATCAAATTCAATTTCACTTTTTAGCTAGAGTTACCACTTAATTAGAAAATGGTTGCGCACAACATGCTGATAAGGTCAATTGAAAATTCATTCATAACTTTTTGTATAGGCCCAGTTGAATATTGCTATAATAGTGTGTGGTTATCACAAAATCCCACGGCACACCTGGATTGGCATCACAGCACACCATTTGAGAACCACTGACACTCAATGTCAGATTCAACGAGTATCTTCTCACAGTCTGCAGCTGTTCGTTCTGTGTGCTGGGAAAAAAATATTGGTGTTCTGGCGCTGTAAAGGGAAAATAAAGTGGCTCGGACCAAGACTGACAACACTTTGCCAGCTACTCTCCTTCAGCTGCATACTCGCCTACAAATAACAGAGTAACACCATGATAGTTATGAAACCTAAATAACATCGGAGATATTACAGGATGTCTTGAAGGAGCACTGATAGGAGGAGTGTAGTATTTACCAGTCCTGACAATGTCACAACAGCTGGTCTTATTTTCACCTCATGAGTCTATATGTGTGTTATCAATGCAAAACGTGGTCCAGGTGACACCAGTTGTTGCAGCAACTACCATAAAAGCCGTTATGAGTATTCTGCCAGGTGTTTATATGTTTGTGTGTCTGAGCACAGATTTTGACAGAACGATAACATCACAGCTGTGCAAGATAAAGTCAGAAAGCTTCACAGGTGTGTAGTTCTGATGGCTTTCCATTGGCTTCACCAATTTATGAATCTGGCTGACATTTGCTTTAACTGCGAATTGCTGTATCACAGTGATCCTATCGCAGGATGGGCTCTAGTTATTTGGGTATTGAGTTCAAACAACAGTCTTTCTCCAGAATCGCTGACTCCTTTAAACATTAAAAGTATTGTCTGTACCTATGAATAACACAGACATGCTAATGCATATTATTTAATCAGCCAAGAGGCTCACATCTATAGCATTAAGCACATAGCCACTGGAGGGATTAGTCGTTATATTAATCGATGTTTAAGTCATTAAGGCATTTTTCAAAGGAAAATGCTGAATAGTCTGTTTCTGCTCGTAAAAATATTGCTTTATATTAAAGTGCTGTTATATAGTCACTGTAAAATTAATATTATTAATGTAATATAGCATCACCTCAGACTCGGGAAATCTTATTTTGGACTTTTTTATGATGTTTTAGGGACTATCTGATTAATCATTTAATTTAATAAATAACCGACAGATCGACAACCCTGACAGCTCATGTAGTTTTTCCTTTTTGCCCTAGGACCAGGCTTAAACCGGCCGAAACCAAATCAAAAATTTGATCTCTTACATGTTTTTCTCCCCGTAGAGTTTTACAAACACTGTCTGTATTGAAATAAGTTTTAGTAGCCTGACGAGTCACAAGCACCTACTGTGAAAAGCGTCAACAAACTAACAATCTAACTATTGTAAATGCAGTTATGTAACAGGGTAATAATGTCTTCGACTCCTGTGCATAGTCTGAACACATGACACAAAGAACATACCCTACAGATGTTAACAAGCTTGTGCTGTGAAATATCACCTTATGCCAGAAGGAGTCAGACTTCAAATCGATTTGCCAGTTTTTAACTCGCTTACAGCTGCTGCTTTCAGTCGGGAGAAATGTCTCATTGTCTCTCTCTGTAGATCTATGCACACGCAGACATCCCCACCACCAGCTGAGCCTCGGTATGTCCCGACGTGGGCTGCAGTAGTACCGGTATGACCCCGCTGGATCCCCAGAGAATAGCCAATTTCCATACAGATAGACACAGAGCCAGACCACACCTGTGCTCCTGGAAACCCAAGCGGGGATTGTATCAGACAGAAATTCTGATGCTTATTAGTGACCTGGCCCTCCTGACAAAAAGAGCAAGAGACACAGAGATAGGGAAACGAGGAGGAAGAGAAGGAATTTACAAAGAGAAATGAGGTAAAAGCAGGATGGATGATCACATCTGTCTCTGTTTACCTTCTGCTGCATCACGGCTTCTGTACGCTGCTGTGCAGGTCTTCATTAGCACTGAGTCAGCTATGATGGAGCACCAATCCTTGGCAAAATACCCACATTTTCCATTCTCTGTGTGTCGCTATGTCTGGTATTATGAGAGGGTGAAATGAAGGTCTTCTACAGAGAAGCTTCATTAGAAACTTAAAGGTTATTTTTGGGTATGTTTTGAGTTTTTGAGCCAAAGCAGTCAGCCTCTTTCTGCTGCAGAGAAGTGCTGCACAATATATATTTTATTGTCATCGCAGTGTCAGCTTGTGCTATAAACACATTGTAAGGGACTGCATTATTGCACTGAGCTAGTTGAAAGAGAGCATCAGTAGAAAGCTGCAATTTTGACTGTAACCATCTTTTTTATTATTTGTACCTTTTGTGTTCAGTTCATTGTTCACTTTGTTCAGCCAAATAATTTCCTTTCATTTTCTAAAATTTGTAGTAATTTGTTGTATTCTAGCGGTGAACTAAAAGCAGCAGAAACAGGCAGAGCCGAGTATACTTTAATATTTGCTTATTTATCACAAGTAATATCTTTTGTAGTAATATATCTCTTGCATATCAGCAACACTTATTTTCCTCATATCCTGCAGCTCTACTGCAGGGATTCGTAAAATGAAAAACCTTTTGCTCAGGCTGCTGGGAAAATGTGTGTGTGTGTGTGTTACCCTGTGAGCAACACTGCGATTAGATGCGCAGTCAAATAATCCAACATTTTATCCTCGTGACTTTGACGGCTTAATTTGACACATCTCTGATTTACTGAAGACAGCTTCCCGAGAAGTCTTCTGGCAGCAAAATGTCTGCTATTTAAGAAAGGGCAAGTCGGGTTAAGCGTTAAATCTGTTTTTTTTTTTTTTGTTTTTTTTTAGTGTATAATTATAATAATAAAATCTACTTATACTTCACTGGTCCAAAGCAAACGTGCAGTACAAGTAAAACTGTGTATGTGCATGTATGTGTATATATATGTTTATGTCTGTGCTGAATGTGAGAGCAGCTGTTGACCTGCTGCTGCACATCTGGACATCAGCATGATTTGTTCATTCTGTTTGTGACACAGTCATGAAAGTCTAGCAAAAGCACTTTTCACAGTTAAAATCTCAGACTGTTATTTTTTTATGGGCCGACTGATGAGCAAATATTTTATAAAAATACAGTATAATTTACATCTCTTTATGTCCAACTCAAATCAGAATTGAGAAACTACACTAAATAACACACTTGATAACAACTAATTGTTTAAAATGTAAAGGGTAAGTTTGGTAAGAATAATTTTTGAAACTGGTCCAGGCTGCAGTTTAAACACTTAAAAGTGTTTGTTTTTGCCATTGAGAGGCTCAGATTATTGTAAGTGTCTGACAAAATTATGGAAAGGATCCCTACAGAGGTAGACCTTTTGCTTAAAGCGTTAGATCCTTTTTGTTCAACCAGAAACAGCCCCTAAAATCTCCATCACCAAACCCACCAGACTCCATTTAAATAAACACTCATTTTAATGTGAATAGAGCCAGCATATTTTCACACCTATCTGGCTGTATTAAAGGTTTATATCAACCAAACTGGAGTTGTTGATTGTTGGAACAGTGGAAAGATGAACCAAGACAACGTTTGTGGGTTTTATTTTGTTTCTGGCAACTTTAAAGTAAGTGTGTTTTACAATGACTAAATTACTGTTAATTAAAATGGAGTCTAGTGGGTTTGGCAGTAGTGATATCGGGGCTGTTTCTGGTTAACAAAAGGATCTTACTCTTTAACAAAATGTCTATCTCTGTAGGGATCCTTTTCATTAGATGTCAGACACTTAAAATAATAATCTGTTCATGTCAGTGGCAAAAACAAGCACTTAAAGTGGACATAAATTGACGGCGCAAACATGCCCTGAATACTTACTTACATTGCAGCCATACTGGACCAGTTTCAAAAATGAATGTTTCCCATTGGTCAGTTTGACACAATAGCATGGGAAAATAGGCTATAAAATACTGAGCTTACCCTGTTAGAGAAAAAATAAAGTTAAAATGAAAACAAACATTTTTATATCTAAGTGAGCCTACTTGACCTCACACCATCCTTGGTTAGCATTCATTCAGGGTTAGCATTGTCGCCTCACAGCAAGTCCCTGGTTTGAGCCCAGGTGTGAAGTTTGCATGTTCACCCTGAGTCAGCGTGGGTTTTCACTGGGTACTCCGGCTTCCTCCCACAGTCCAAAGACATGCAGGTTAACTGATGACTCTAAATTGCCTGTAGGTGTGAATGTGAGTGTGAATGGTTGTCTGTCTCTATGTGTCAGCCCTGTGATAGTCTGGTGACCTGTCCAGGGTGTACCCTGCCTCTCGCCCAATGTCAGCTGGGATAGGCTCCAAAAGTTGAAAACATAAAGTTAGATTATACCAAAAACTGTCATGTGAAATTCTGACATTTCCTGACAGATAGCAACTCACTGTATCTGTCTCTCTCAGATGCTCTGATCCTTCTCACTCTACATGTGCTGTTTTCTCTCTTTCCCCCTCCCTCCCTGCCGCCCGTCCTCTTTCCCTCCAGCAGAGCATCACGAGGTAGTAAGATTATACAACATTACACGAAATGTTTCACTTGACGTTCATTCACTGCGGTTGGCGTAGAGCAGAAGGGCAGAGAGAATATCAAGCTGACTCTTAGAGGGCTGTGCGTTTCAGAGAGGGTGACAGAGACTGTGAATGTCTGGAATCAAAACAAATCAGGTGAGAACAATCTTATACCTCCTCTAAAGCTTTTATGTGTAAGAGAGCGGTGCGTTTGGGCAGTGATGTGTGTCTGTGGGCGTCTTTGCGAGTGTGCATTTGAATTCATTATGTGGGGAAAATCAGTTATTTGAGAACATAACACTCTAAAAGCAGCTTTTAGCCATGAGCATGTTCCTGTGTGTGAAGCTGGTTTTGTTATCTTGTTTATTTACTTCCAGCAGGCGTTTGATTGCGGTGACTTGCCGAAAATAAGCTCAACTCGTGGTTTACCATGACTCAGTTTGTCATATGTGCTTGATTCACATGTTCACATGCCGTGGATGTTTAACTGTCTCTTAGTGAGAACAGCAAATTCTGGTTTACCTGATTGGATTAAACTTTAACACAGGGAAATTTGTTTATATTGCACATTTCAGCAACAGGGCAATTCAAAGTGCTATAAAAGGACATTTAAATACAGTTAGAAACAGTTATTAAAGAGCCAAGAGAATAGAAAATAGAAACAAGGTAAAACATACCAGAGTAACAGTTACAGTGCAGTGTAAGAGATGAATGTTTTTTTTTATTTAATAAAAGGCTGCGGCATGAGAAAAATCTTCAGCCTTTATTTGAAAAGAACTGAAAGTTGCAGCAGACCTGCTGTTTTGTGGGAGTTTGTTCCAGATATGTGTGTATAAAAACTGAACGCTGCTTTCCCATGTCTAGTTTCGACCCTGGGGACAGAAAGCAGACCTGTACCAGATGACCTGAGAGGTCTCGATGTTTCATAGTGTAGCAGAGCAGAAAATGTTGGCCCCCAAACCATTCTTGCTTTATAAACCAACAGTGCCGATGTGAAGACCTCAGAACTGGAGTAATGCGATCTTTTTGGTCTTAGTGAGGACTCAAGCAGCAGTGGGATTAACAGAATAATTAACTTCTAAAGGCTCATTAATACTCTCTTTACATACAAAGATTGATATGTACATTACAAAGGTTGTAACCGTCACGGCCCACATACTCCCATGCGTCTTTTATATTAGCATAGACACATTAACTAAACAGCACTAGAGAGCATGGTCATAATAATGCACCTTGTAACGGAGGCTGCGTTGCAGACAGCAGTGGTCTGTGAGGCCATTAAATACATCGCAGCATGTGGACAGAGAATTCTTTTCACTATATTACCAATCCAGTCGTTTGACAGTTTTGAAATGTCGTCATCATGTTCTACGGTTGGGTCTTGCTTGAAGTGTGTTACATTGCCACGACGATTTCTGGTGGTACAGCTCTATTTTGTCTGTATCAAAAAACATGCACAAATATGGACGACATGAACTCAGAATCTGAACAGAAAGCTCTATCTTTGTTTGTATATATAGAATAGAAAAGAACAGAAAGAACTTTGTCCAGAAAAATTCAGCTGTCCAGCAGCTCATGAAAGACAAAAACAACAACCACACTTCCCCTCATCAACAACAACATTGGGGTATTAAAACAGACATTAAATAATATAAGTTAAAATAAGTACATAAATAGAAATTAAAAATCAAATTAAACTAAAATTGTCCAGCCAGCTGTGCCTAATGTGTGTGGCTGCATTTAGGAGGTGTTAAACAGTCTTATTGCCGTGGGGACGAAGGATCTCTTGAAACTAACTGAGCTAATTGCTGCAGCTGCTCCTCTGACGCTCCAGGAGGCTGAGGAGAGGGTGTCTGCTACTGTCCATTATAGCTTTCAGTTTGTTCAGTGTGCCGCCCTCCACCACAGTTCTTAGTGGGTCCAGTCTTGTGCCGAGCACTGAGCCAGCTTTTTTAACCAGCTTTTAACCACCAACCAATGGCTTGGTCTTTTTGTCCGTCAAGCTGCCTCCCCAGCACACTGCAGCATATATGCAACATTAAGCATAAATAAGCCTTTGAGAAGTATTTCAGTGTTGGAGAGATGGTCTTTTCATAAAGCTGGGCTGTCTAGGCAGTGCAAAGAAGCAAAATCTTTTAAAATTGTTGCTACATGAGCACAGAAAACAGAGAAAAGGGAGCTGTGGTATTCACTTTGGCTCAAGAGATAGAAAACCTAAAACTACCAGAACACACTACACCACACTGGACCAACAAATGCTCTCACTGGTGGGTGATGTAATTTGAGCTTGGTCATTTTAACACAGGAAGCAATATGGCGGCCAATTAATAACTAACAATCTCGTATTACAGTTAAACAGCAAGTAAAAATATGTAATTTTAGGTGAGAAACAGTAACAGAATCTTGGTTTTGATTTTATCAGCGCTGCCTAGTTTTACCATTTGATTGGACTGTGTTCTCAGTTTGCGAGAGAGAGGCATGTCTCTCTTTCGATCCACTTCTATACTCGGTGCTGGCAAGCATAAGAAAAGTACAATCTGTAGTTTGAGAGAGGGAAGCTTACCACAGTTCATTTGCACATACTGCCCCACATTGTTATGATACAGAGCTGGTTGAAAATCAGCAAACTATCCCTTAAAATGGATAAAGTCTTTGGGATACTGTCGGTGAAAGTGGTTTGATGTTTCGACTCATTGTAAGTGTCTCTCTCTTCTTGTGTTTCTCCGTTCAGGTCAGTATGAGTGGGGGTGTCAATGTAAAGTCGGCCCCCAGGGCTCCTGCCTCATCAGGAATCCCCCTCCCACACAGCCTGTTGCCCTCCTCCCCCAAAGCAGACCCCCGCCGCCGGGCTAGTGAACTACCCAGGCCCTCAACACAGACCCCTAAACACACACCCACACACACTCCCACACACACACCCAGGCACTCTCCTTTACTTTGCCCACGGGGCTCCAGCATCCCTGGGCCTTCCTCCAGGGACCCAAAGAGAGACGTCGGCCTGAAAAGCCAGCTCTTCCACCGGACGGGAGCTCTCCCAGCTCCCCAGGTGTCACGCTCTGCCTACAGCAGCCCTTTAACCCAGCGTAGGGTGCCATCGCCACACTCCAAAGACACACTGGATCTAGGAAAACCCACCTCGCCTCTCATCCCCTCACTGTTTCCACATGACAGCAATCGCAACAGAAACACTCTCACCAACAAGAACCAAACATGGGGAGCCAGCAACCTGCGTCCACCGCTGCAGTTCAGAGGAGGAGACAACTCCAACACTGTATCCCAGGCAACGAGTGAGGTCGTGCCACAAAGAGAGGAAGAGCCTCCAGAAAACCACCCAGCCCGGACCACCATGTCAAACAACGGTAACCTCCGCTCCTGTCTTCCGCAAACAAGCTATGAGCAGGCCATCAGAGGTCGCAGTGACTCCACCAGCCAATCAGATGAGGAGATGGGGACTCCTGAGGACAGCAGTCCAGCCTGCTCGCCCTGTCCCCTGCCGCTGCCACCGCTCACATTTACCATGCCAGTAATGTCCAAGGTGGCTGTCGATACGCTGGATCAAAGCCTAGACGAGGAGGCAGCGTCTACGGAGGCACACACACCCAGAGTCAACATGGCCACTGTGGCTCCCTTCAGCTACAGGTAGGTGGTACACACACACACACACACACACACACACATACACACACACACACACAACTGTCACTTTATGAAGATTTCCATCACAAGCCCCAATTACAGACACCAACTGTAAAGCCATTCTCCTGTCATTATTGCAAGATCACTCTCTCTCCTCATGGCACATTATGATCCCCCTCTCCACTGATGTACACACACTTGATTGATGATTGATTGCCTCCCACTCTAAAGACCAGCCCTAGAGGAGTGCCATTTCACTCTAATTCCTCTGTATCTTTTCCAGCGATACACGTGTGTGCAAGGATACACACACACATATATACACTTGGTGATTTCTGGAGCAGAGCTGATTGTTTAAGTGTCCTCTTGACAGCCTCTGGGCTGACTCAGAGTACTGTTCTCTCCCTCTCACACACACACACACACACACACACAAAGTCTCTGACAATGTCATATTAAAAAATATTAAAATAGAAAAATTCAGGACAACAACTTTAATTCTTGATCCTATTTTACTTTCACAAAGATGAAAATATCTGCAGTGCTATACGCATTATCTGATCTGATTTTCTGTTCCTTTTGATTTGCATTTAAGTAAATCAATGTGACACACTATGGAAAGCCAGCTTTTTCTTTCTACTGCCATACATAGTAGCTTGTGTGTTTGATTGTAATCAGTGATATTAACATCAGTAATTTGCATGTACAGTAACGGACATGTGACAGTTGTGTTCGTGTGTCCACAGGCTGCATGCTCAGGACAGCGATTTTTCAGTGGACGAACTCAGTGACTGCTCATCTGGATCCATAGAAGTCTGCTGTGACGACCTAATGCTAGGTTAGACACACACAAACACACACACCTGAATAAAACTTCTAGTTTAGTTCTGTCTGCCAAGTTAGCATCAGGGTTTGACATTAGTTCAGCTGAACACCTGACTGCTATACCAGATTTTACCACTGGGTGTTGCACCTCACTCAGCAGCATGATAAATTTATACATTTCGGCTTAAATTTAAAAAAAATGTTGCCATATTTGTGAAGTTTTAGCTTTCTTTAGCTTTGTCTTGGCTCGTCTTGTCACCCCACATTAAATTTTTAGTAAACAACACGCTACGCGCGCCTCCCATCTCTACTGAAATTTGATCTGCCTCATGTTGCTGGTCTTAGCTCAGCAGTAAATTGCACACAGCTTGTCAGCCACCATTGGCTACATTAGTTTGTTTATAAACACAATATTATGTCAATTACGTCAACACATCACTTATTACTAATGCAGTACAAGTTGGATTTGGCGCTGTGACACAGCTGACATAGACTACTTTTATTTCTATTGTGAGACCTGCAGCAAAGGGACCTAGGGAAGTCTTGAACCTGGGCGTCTGCGGGAAGGTTGTAGCCTCAATGGTATGTGGTCTACCCAGTAAGCTATGGAGGCGTCCGAACGTAGGCTACTTTTAAATGTGCCAGAATGTGGCATAATGACAAATGCCAGTTTAGCAGGTTAGGATAAAATCAAACCGATTTGAGCTCTCTCACCGGACCAGCAAAACTGGCAATCGACTCTAGTTAGCATCAGGCTCCGAGAGGCCAAAAGCCCCTTTGGCAGGTCAGATGCCTTCTTGCTGGTAGCCAGACGCATTTACTGCAGCAGAGTCATAAATGGCGTCAGATGGGACATGCCAGCAGCCGACCTTTGGGTCTAATTGTGGAACCTGAATAGACCCAGTGAACACCAAGGGACAACCATTCTCTGTCTAAATCCATGTCCGCCCCACTCCTACTCATCAGGCCTCAGGAGCCATGTCTGAAGTTAGGTGGTGTAATTTCGTGTGTGTGTGTGTGTGTCTTGGCCTGGGGCTCTGCTGACTGCAGTGGTTCCTGGATGAAGAGATGGGAAAGAGAGATGGACTCAGGATGTTAAGATGAAGGAGGATGACAGGGGTGATGTGGGTCAGTAATGGGATGAAATGGGCCACTTCTCAACTCGCTGCCAGGGAGTATTATTATATGCACATTGATTTCAGCTACATCCAAGAGCTGTCGAGAGTTTGAACCCTTCCTCCCCTCACACTTTCTCTCCTTCCCTCTCTTATGCAGTTTGTCCTTTCTAGCTTCATTGACCTAAAAAGCCACAGTCCCAGCATGACCCCCTCCCCGTCCTTTTGAGTAACGGTTTGCTCTGCACCCACAGCTCCAGTCATGCTTTGTCGTGGTCAGCGTGAGTCGAGGGATGTGGCCGTGCTTCAGAGATATGACTTTATCAGTGGCTTAGTGAATCATTCTTTTTGATGTGGTGTCAGTTGGATAGGAGGGATCAGCTGCATGGCTTTGAAATGTGCAGCCCAGAGTAAGTGTGTATTACACTTTAATGGCCAAAATCTCTCTTATCTTATACACATCTGAACAATGAGTCAGACAGCGTAGTCAGAACGTATCAGGGTGGTTTTTCATTGTTTGACAGTAATCCTGCACGTTGGATCTGAAACGAAACAATGACAATGGGTTTACAGTGCTGATTTCTATGAGGGGTGGAAATAATTTAATTGATAAAAATGCAAGTAAGTTGAAAAATAGAGCAGTAATCATGGATGTGAAATAAAAAATCGATTAAGAAAGTGTCAAGTGATTTGATTCATTTAAAGCTGATTTGATTAAAACTGTCATAATGAAAACAGAGCCATGTTTCATCACTTTCCACATCTTTGGTTCATTATTTACAAAACAAAAACGCCATTTATCATTTAAAGAAAGAGACCACAAGGGTGGAAATAACAAAAAGTGATTGAAAAAAAATGAAGTGATGAAAATGCTAGGATTTAATAATGTAAGAGACAAAATATGCGTGAATTGAAAAATAAAGGGGTAAGAATGGATGTGAAATGAAAAACAAAATGATAAATGATCAAATGAGTAGATTAATTTGTCTGCCATTCATCATTCTCAACACCCAACTGACTTTACTCTTTCAGCAACATTTTTTTTCCCACCCAAAATGTCAAAAAAAAAAAAAAGTCCACTGATTATCTGATCAAGTTTTTGGCTCTTTTTCAACCATCTCTGTGCCAAGCAGCAACCTCCAGGGCTGACAAATGAAGCCAATGCAGAAGTGCCAGAAACTGCAGTTCCTTAAATGGCTACTTGAGGCTGGCTCCAACACAGAGTCAATCCCCATAGACCCCCATGTTAAAATGCCCAACTTTACAGCAGGAATAAACATGTTTACAGCCTGGTACAAAAAACGTTTTTTCTCTTTATAGCTAATTTCTCCCTTCATGACAACTACTACTACAAGGATGAATTTTTATATAAGTCACCCATTTACATTTTATTAAGGCTTAAAGTTATGCATAATTAAGGGCTGGCTACTCAGATTGACAGGCTGTCTGCTGATAGTGTCCTTGGCTTCTCAGTCACATCCGCCCCTTGTTCCTCCACAGCTTCAGCCTCTCGCCCAAATATCTTCACCACTGGCTCCAAAAAAACACAAGGTAACGACAGGCATCCATAATGCTGAACTTGTGGCTTCAAAATAGGAGTCCACAAGCCAGTAGGTGACATCACAGTAGCTGCTCCCGGCGGCCCCACTGATCCAATGGCAGACTGCAAGATCACCGCTATTAGATGAGCGGCAAATAGATGTACACGGCAAAGGTTTTGAGAACCAAAAACTTAATCAGTTTGTGATTTGGTGTGTTTTTTTAAGTGATATTTTGGGCAGAAGTAACAAAAATGTTGTTGTAAAAGGTAAATGTCAGTTAGGTGTTGTGAATGATACACTTTTTTTTCAGTTTGCATACATTTCATCACTTCCATTATTAATTCGTAGCATTTTCATCACTTTTTGTTACTTCCGCTCTTGCAGCCACTTTCTTTTCATGATAAACGGCAATTGTGTGTTTTGAATGAGGAACATAAGATGTGGAAATGGATGAGATGTGGCTCTGTTTTCATCATACGACTGTTTTAATCAAATTGGCTTTAAATCAGTCAAATCAGTTATTTATTTGTCCCCCTGCTTTTCATTTCACATCCAGTTTTACTGCTCTGTTTTTCAACTCGCATGCATTTTCATCACCCTTCACTTTTGTCAATTAATTTTTTGTTATTTCCACCCCTCAGAATTATCCAGTTTTATGATCAAAGATTTGCCCTGGCTAGTACAATGAAATGTTCTCCCTGTCTTATTTATATGTTCATATTATCTGACATTATATTGTATTTTATAAAACGGTACGGTACGGTATGATACGATGCGATGCGATGTGATACAATACAGTATGATTTACCATGACATGACATGACATGACATGACATGATCTTATTTTATCTTATCTTATCTTATCTTATCTTATCTCACTAACAGTTTCCTGGACTTCATCATTTTCTATTCTGTTCCCTGGCCTGTCTAAAACTGTCACCACCAGAATGGAGCTGTTTGCAAATAACCTTTTAAAAGCTTTTTGAAGGTTTCAGCCAGCTGGTTGTGGAGAGGGGGGATGGGAGCTCTTGGTGGACCAGCCCCTGTCTTTAAAAGCCTCTGGCTGTCTCGGGACCATGGTTGTGGCCTTGTAATTGGTCCCTAGAAGGCGTTAGAAACAGAACTCAAGTGTCTTAGACTCCTCTGAAGCTGCATTTACATGGAGGGTGGGCTGACACCGTAATGACTGTAATTTAGGAAGCAGAGGGAAGGAAGGGAACAGGGAGGAAGCCAAAGTTTGGAGGGAAGGAAAAGAAGAGTGAGAGGGGTGAGAGATGAAAAGAGGAGACCTGATAAGGTCAGGGGGTTGATGGATTTCCTTTTGTTTAAGGAGGAAAGATAACAAACAGTAAATGTGTGCGCCGTGATAAAAAGATGATTGAATGTTGGTTGAATATTTCAAAGCTGAGAGCTCCAGTAGAGAACACAACAAAAGGCCAAATCAGGTTTGGTCATGGTTTTCTTGTCTACGGTAAAAGAAACGTTTTCCACAAATTAAATTTTTTCCATACGCTTACATTCACTCAGATTGAATCAGCTGTAATATAATCAGCTCGTACATCGTCTACTCGAGCCCCTAATGAAGACCTGAACATTTAATGTGACTGTAGCACCATGTGGTCTTTCAATTAGACCGCAGACCTCTTGACCTTGTGGCTCTCTGGAGAGGTGTATTTGAGCATGCGTTCATGTCTGAGCATGTGTGTGTATGTGTGCGTGTGTGACAGTACACAGCTGGTGTTTGAAAGATAAATGTGATGTGGACTGAGTATCATTTTTCATTTCCCAGTGAGGGTATGGCCTGGTGCTCCCTACGGACACTCTCGTAGTCTGTCAGCTGTCTCTCTCTTTCTCTCTCTCTCTCTCCCAAACACACACACACACACACACACACACACACACACACACATGCACATACTGTACAAGCGCCTCCAAACCTTGGGGAGGTCATGTGTACATCTGCTCTGAGAACTCTGTTCATGAGGATATGAAACACAGCACAGCATCCCACATCCTCCTTCATCTTACACTGACATTCACAGGTAGAAAACAATAACAGTTGTATTTGCCAGGTGCGACACTGACACGTTATGTTAAAATAAACTGGCATGTGTTCATTTGAAACAGTCGCACAACCTGGAGCAAAGATTTTATGATGTGTTTTCCAAGGCGAGCCAAAAATTGCATTCAGTGGCCATGAGCCAACTTGCACTGTGTTATACTGAATTTAATAATGGCCCCATTTGCCTTAATGCAGTGGTTCTCAAACAATTTCACGGGTCCCCCCTGGAGAGTCTTTAGGCCCGTTTCCACCGACCAGTACAGTTCAGTTTGGTTTGGTGCGCTTTTTTGTCGTT